ATGGCAAATTTGTCAATGCCAATGGTGTTCAAGTGGTGCTCCAGTTGTTTTGAGATTGCACCCAAGGCGCCTATGACTATTGGTACCACCCTTACTTGCCTTTGCCACAGTCTTTCTATTTCTATTTGTATTTTGTGATCTTCTCCAATTTTTTCTCGTCTGTTCTGCTGTCTCCAGGCACTGCCACGTCCACGATCCAGACTTTTTTGTCTTTCTTATCGACAATTGTTAAGTCCAGGGTGTTATGTTGCAAGTGCTTGTCTGTTTGAATTCTATTATTATCGATCATCGCACAGTCAGCCAGATGTTCAGACTGGATTTGGCATTTTGTCTACCTATCGAGTCCTTACCCAGGACCTGGGATAGGCAGATGTGGATGTTTGATGGTATTACAGATATCGTCGCAGGATGGAAGCAGTTCCTAATAAGGCCGCCTTTTGCAATTGACTAATAGCGAATTTGTCAATGCCAATGGTGTTCAAGTGGTGCTCCAGTTGTTTTGGGATTGCACCCAAGGAGCCTATGACTATTGGTACTACCCTTGCTTGCTTTTGCCACAGTCTTTCTATTTCTATTTGTAGGTCTTTGTATTTTGTTATCTTCTCCAGTTCTTTCTCTTCTATTCTGCTATCTCCAGGCACTGCCACGTCCACTATCCAGACTTTTTTGTCTTTCTTATCGACAATTGTTAAGTCTGGGGTGTTATGTTGCAGGTGCTTGTCTGTTTGAATTCTGAAGTCCCAGAGCAGTTTAATTTTATCATTTTCTATGACTTTCTCTATTTTATGATCCCACCAGTTTTTGCTTACAGGCAAATGATATTTTTTGCAGATCTTCCAATGCACCATTGTTGCTACTTTGTCATGCCGCTGCTTGTAATCAGTCTGTGCAATCTTCTTGCAACAGCTTACCAAGTGGTCCACTGTTTCTTCAGCTTCTTTGCATAGGCGGCACTTACTGTCTGTTGCTGTCTTCTCAATTTTGACTTTGTATGCATTTGTCCTTAAGGCTTGGTCTTGTGCAGCCAGAATTAGTCCCTCGGTCTCTTTCTTCAATTTTCCTGCTCTTAGCCATTGCCAGGTTTTATTATTATCTGCTTTCCCAGCTATTTTTTTCATGTATTGGCCATGTAGTGCTTTGTCTTCCCATGCCTCTATTCTGTTCTTCATTTGGTCTTTCTTGTAGGCCAGTTTGGTCTCTCCAGTAGTTAGTAAGCCTTCCTGATATACTAATTTCAGTGCATCTTCATCATTGTTCTTCAGATATTCTTCCAAAGCCATTTTTTCTTCTTCAACCATCTGATGTACTTGTAGCATTCCACGCCCACCTATTTGCCTTGGTAGATAAAGTCTATCAATGTCACTGCGTGGATGAAGGGCATGATTCATTGTCATTATTTTTCTGGTCTGCCTATCCATTGCTTTTAGTTCTGCTTGAGTCCAGTCCACTATTCCAGCTGTGTACCTAATGACTGGGATTGCCCAGGTGTTGATTGCCTTTATGGTATTTCCTCCATTGAGTTTGGATTTTAAGATCTTCTTCACTCTCTTGATGTATTCACCTCTAATCTTTTTCTTGACTTCAGTGTGCTTGATGTTGTCAGCTTGAAGGATACCCAAGTATTTGTAGTACTCTTCCTCATCCAGACTCTTAATGTTATTTTCGTGGGGCATCTTGATTCCTTCAGTTTTCATTATTTTTCCTTGTTTGATAGTAAGTGTGGCACATTTGTCCAAGCCAAACTCCATTACAATATCTTGGCTATATATACGGACAGTGTTGAGCAGCGATTCTATTTCAGATGATGTTTTTCCATACAGCTTCAGATCATCCATATAAAGGAGGTGGGATAGTCTGGCAGATGTTTTTGATGTTTGATAGCCATGTCCTGAGTTATTCAGTATTGTTGACAGAGGAAACAGTGCAATAACAAATAGTAATGGTGATAATGAATCTCCTTGAAATATTCCTCTCTTGATATTAACCTCTCCCAGCCTCTCACCATTGATCTGCAACTGTGTCTTCCATTGTGCCATCGATCTTTGCACAAATTTTCTGATGTTTCTACTGACTCCTGTTATTTCTAGGCACTTTATTATCCAATCATGTGGCAGAGAGTCAAATGCCTTTTTGTAGTCAATCCATGCACATTCAGGTTGGTCTTCCTTCTCTTGCAGTTTTCCAAGATCATTTTGTCTATTAGGAGTTGATCTTTTGTTCCTCTGCTATTGGGGCGGTTTCCTTTCTGCTCAGGTGGAAAGAGATTGTTTTCAACTAGATGCTGTTGCACTGCATCAGCTACTACACCAGTTAGTAATTTGAAAGTTGTTGGTAAGCAGGTAATTGGCCTGTAGTTACCTGGTGTTGCCCCTTTTGCTGGATTTTTCATTATTAGGTAGGTTTTCCCAGTTGTTAGCCACTTTTCAATTTCTCCTCCTTGTAGTATATTGTTGAACTGTTTGGCAATGAGTGGGTGTATAACAGTTAGATGTTTCAACCAAAACCCATGCAGTTCATCTTCACCTGGTGCTGACCAATTTTTGATTTTCTTTGCTCTTTTTTCTACCATTTTTGTTGTTATTACTAGTTCTTTCATTTCAACTTCTGTTTTATTTGCATCCACCTCTTTTAACCAAGCCGCATCCTTGTTGTATTTCTTTGGGTTATCCCATATCTGCTTCCAGAACTGCACTGTTTCTTCCTTGTCAGGTACTGACTGATTCTTTGCAGTTTCTCCATTGATGGATTGGTAGAAACGTTTCTGATTGGATTGAAATTGGAGGTTCTGCCTATAGTTTGCAATTCGAGCTTCATATCTACTGATTTTCCTGGCTATAGCTGTTATTTGTTGCTTTATTATTTCCAGTGCTTCCTTGATCTTCCTTGTTTCTAAGTGGTATTTCTTGATTAGGTATTCTTTGGTCTTCTTGTTCTTCAGCTTCTTTTCTTTCATCTGTTCTAGCTTGCTTGCATGTGATCTTAACTTGCTGATCTTATTTTCTAGTCTAACCTTCCATTTTTCTGGTGCACTGTTTGTTTGTTTTTCTTCTTTGTTGATTTTGCATCCCAGGTATTCTGTTATAACTGCAGCTGTGCTGTACATTAGTTGGTTTGTTTCTTGCAATGAATTGGTGCTTATACTTGATATTGCAGTATTTGCATCTTTTAATGCTTGTGCTAGCTGTTTCTTTGGAACAAGCTTCAATGCAGGTAGCCTTATTCTGTTGTTTTTGTGCTGTTCTAGATGCTCAGTTATTCTTTGTTTCAATTCTTTTATTTCTTTAGTTAGAGGGTTTTGTTCTTCCTGAGGTAGAGGTGCCTGGTTTCCAAATGAGAACAGTTGTATATCTCTGCTAGATTCCTTCACTGCCAACTCCCCCTGGTTTGCCTCTACATTCTGAATTACTTCTGGTAAGGCTTTGATTTCTTTGCCCTGGGTAAACCTTTGCAGTTCGTCCAATTCTGTTTCTGTGAATACTTTATTTCGTGTTATAAATCGGCGTTGATCTGCTAGTCTCTGTTCTGTTATTTCTGATTCTGGATGTTGTTCTTTCCAGAACTGGTGCATTCGTTTTAGATATCCTCTTCTTGTTGGACTTGATCTGTAGTAACAGATCATTATTTCTTTGTTTTCCATCACTGTGTATCTGCGACGGGTAAACACCTTTTCTTCCAGTAGTTCTGCAGCTGCTGGCCCTGGTTGCTCAGCCAACAGTCCTGAGTCCTGTAACCCATTTTTCACCAGATATCCAGGAACTCCAATATCTAGCGCGGACCTTGTTAACCCGGGCGACGTCCGAGCCGGTATGGCATTCTGAAATTTACGTCTCACCATATTTTTTATGGGAGAGACACTCTTTGTCTGACTCCTCTGATGAGACCTGTCACTCAGCTGACTTTGTACCTATTGCAGGTCTAGAACTCATCATCTCCTGGTTTTTAGCCTGGCGCCTTAACCACTAAACCAAATGATTAGTGAATAGCCAACCAGCTTGGCAAATTTCATGCTCAACATGTAAAGATCACAAGGCAAATTTGGGTCCAAGCAGCGGTCGCAAAGATCCATGTGTTGGGTATTCACAGGTGTAAGAAGTATGTGTGATAGACGTGCACTCAGGGTGGTTGAGGATACCTCTGCACGCATCTACTAAGCAAGTAACAGTATAGTAAAATGTCTGTGGAGATTCTCAGTCCTCAGGGATATGGCTGTCCCAAAGGGACAATATATTTTGCTCATTTACCAATGCAATATATGAGTTTCTCCCTCAGCAGTTCTTCTACTAAATTTTATCTCAAACAATCCAACCAGTTTCTACGACAAATATTTTAGGGCTATCAAATGTACGCTAGAAAATCTGGATATAAGGCAACTGGACTTTGTTTGTCCTCGAAGACTTTTCATTTCTCATCCAGGAAGCTTCTTCAGTTCTGACTGAATGGTGGAGGATGGAAGGATTTATATTCTTTTGCAGTCATCTGGTCATTAGTACTCTTTCTGAGAGTCGTTGAGGCCACTTGGGGGTTTATCTGTGCCTTCAAGGTCACAAATGGGTGGTGGAACCGTCTTGGAACTGCTGAAAAGACGGTGTTGTAAACAGGAGAGCAGTGGCATCGTATCCCCCCCCCTTCTGTTGAGAGAATCAGGTTACAACAGAGTCCTTTCAGCAGTTCCAAGAAGATTCCACATCCCTTTGCGCTATTCAGGCGGCCTGAGAATACAGATAAACATCCAAATGGCCTCAACGGCTCTCTGGAAGAGTACTAACAGCCAGATGATTGCAAAGAATATAAATCCTTCCATCCACCCCCGTTAAATCAGCACTGAAGAAGCAAAACATCTTCGAGTAAAAGCAAAGTGCAATTGCCTTTTTGGGGGGAAAAACCCCACTTTTGGGACAGTACAGTAAAAGGTTGTTTCCCTCAAATAAGCTAACGCCGCTCTTCTCACAGAAGCCAGAGTCAAAACTTAAATGTTACGTCCTCCGTTTTTATCTTTTTAGGCTTTGAGTTGCTTTACCAGCCCGAAGTCGTGCGGCTCTACCTCTCCATTCTCACCGAAAGTCAGAATTTCAATACTTTGGAAGCAGCGGCCGGCGCCCTCCAGAATCTCAGCGCAGGAAACTGGACTGTGAGTGAAATCTGGGTGTTTGGGCTATTTTTCCTGGAAATGTATTTACTCAGTTGTAGTAATCAGTGCTCAGTCATTGCAGGGTGCAAAAAATGGCTGCTGGTACGCAGCATTTTATTGTTTATATAGAGATCACAAGAAGCAAAAGTTTCTACATGGCAATAGCATTTCATTGGCTAACTTCTTTACCAATCCTCAAGAATATAGAAGCCAGAGGCCAGAAACAGGGAATAGTTAATAACATCTTGTTGATGCGAGCTAGCTGTTATCAGACAGGCAAGCAAGGTCACACAGACCTGCGCACTTTCACATCACCATGGTGATTGAAGGGGGGGAGATAGATCTAGAGAAGAAGAAGCACACAGGCGTTGGAGGGGCAGTTTTCCACACACGACCTTTGCCTGGCCCCCACCTCTATACTCAGTTTGCTTGAATGCCGCACGCGGGCAGGCTTAAGATAGGTGGACTTCAATCCCCAGAGTTCCCCAGCCTGCGCTGAGTGGAGAATTCTGGGAGTTGACGTCCCTGTGTGTCTCCCAAGTTTCCAAGGTGGAGACAGCACAAGTTTAATGCCATCAGAGTATGGCCGTCTTCCTTTGAGATCCAGGTTCAGTCAAGCTTTCCTCACTTGATACTCTCAAGAAGTAAGTCAACCTTAGACTTGCTACAAGGTTCTCTCTATAACAGTGTGGATTAAATGTTCTAGAACCACGGACCATTCAGTTAGCAGGGACCACCTTACTAAATTAAACACATGCAAGTTGTTCTTTTCTCTTCGGGAGCCTGAGAGTTCACTTTACTTGGTTGGCTGGTTCTTTCTCTTCCCTTCCGCTCTCCTCCCCTTCGCTCCCCTTCCCTTCCGCTCCCCTCCCCTCTCCTTTCAGTCTGCTCCCCTCCTCTTTTCTTTTCTTTTCTTTTCTTTTCTTTTCTTTTCTTCCCTTCCCTTCCCTTCCCTTCTTTTCTGCTCCCCTTCCCTTCCACTCTTCTCCCCTTCCCTTCTTCTCCCCTTCCCTTTCATTCCATTCTATTCCTTTCCTTTCTGCTCCCCTTCCCTTTCATTCCATTTCATTCCTTTCCCTTCCTTTCTGCTCCCCTTCCCTTCCACTCCCTGTCAACGCTGCAAATATTGTATATTCTTGCTTTTGACAATATGCAGAACTGTCTGAGGTTAATACAGAGCAGAAGGGGGGTGGGGGGTAAAGCCCGGGGAAAGAAAGAGGAAGGAAACATTTGACCTTCACACTAATTGGATAATGTGATATATGACGGCTAATTTAGGGAGGGAACATGCTGATAATTTAACTGCTCAGAGAAAGAGAATTTAGATCTTAGCATCCCTCTGTTATGCCTGTGCCGACATTTTGCAACAATAAAAGACTTTTAGGAAAATAAATGCCTGGAAGTTCTTTGAAGTGTTTCTTAGTTGGAAACATAACACTCCCCTTCCCCTCTGCTCCTCTTTCCTCCCCTCCCCTTCCATTATGCTCTCCTCCTCTTCCCTTCCCTTCCGTTCTTCCCAAGGCCTACAACCTGATCCAAACAGCTAACTTGAGCAATGTGCAACTTTCCGTTTTAGTACAGTCAGACTGCAAAATGGATGTCAAGCCCAACAAATCAAGGCTTGTAGTGATATTGGCTATAGTGACAAGAGTCTTTGCAAGCCTGAACGTGCTTCAGTCACCCACCCACCCCATACTCCTGTGAATTAGGAAGGTGTCTGCCCGAATTGCTTGTGCCTAATCTCTTCGTGTTCCAGCTGTAAGCCACGTTCTCCCCTTGGATAATGGATCTGGACAATTATCTCTGTCAAGATCATCTTCCTTCCTCTCTTACATGCCAAGACCTCTAGACCACAAGGCCTAGGAGAAGTCTATTAGTGTTCTCTAGCACCTTGGGGAAATTACTCATTTCAGACAGAAGTGACTCACTCTTCCAATCATTGATCAGTTTTGCTAGGAAGAACCATAACCTTGCATTTAGAAATAAAAGACACTAAGCCATCGTTTCTCCCAAGAGCAGGAGTAGGCAACCTTGGCTCTTTTATGACCCGTGGACTTCAACTCCCTGAATTCCTGAGCCAGCCACACTAAGGGGAAAGGGAGAGCCATGCTGGCTCAGGAATTCTGGGAGTTGAAGTCCACCAATCATAAAAGAGCCAAGGTTGCCTATCCCTGCCCAAGAGATACACTTCCACTTTCCCAAGCTTTGGTCTTTAGAAGTTCTACACCACTATCATGGTCTTCGTTTCTTCCAGAATACAGATTAACCCGGCCATTCAAATTTCTGTATTCTGCATTCTGGTAACCCTTCTGTGACGACCCAGGGCACAGCACAGAGACCAAACAGTCAACTGGCAGTTCAAACGGCTCTTTATTTGCTCCAATTTTCCCCCAAATGCTCCCACGTTTCTGGCAAGCCCCAGAACAAAGTAAGACACACACACACACCTTCAGCAGCCTCTGGCTGCAAGTAGTTTCACACACAGTTAGATTAGAAGAGTAATTTACTCAAGGCCACGTAGATAACAAGGGATGAAATGTACCTCCAAAATCTAATGAGTCTGTGGAAATACAAGCTTGGCCTGAGCAGTTTCAGAAGAGAAGCCAAAATACAATCCGAGGTCTTTGAACACAAATTAAGTTTGTCAGCCAGTCCAATGGGCAGAGTTTCAGGGTTTCCAAGCAGAAATCACAATACAGAACAAGAGATGAGAGAGTTGTTTCCAAGATAAGCAACAGCACACAAAACTCCAAGGAATTGGCGTTTGTTCCCGACAAATGCCTCTCCCCACAGCATCTCCTTAAGTCTCAGTCTCCAGGTGTGCCTTGTGGAGAGGGACAGGATGCTCTCCTCCCGAGTAGTTGAGCCTGCCTGCGTTGTTCCCTTCTTCTCTCCACTCTCCGTGCTCTAGGATCAGGAGGGGGTGGCCCTTGTTCATTGCCTGAGCTTCGTCTCTCATGTTCATCCTGTCCCAATCTTGAAAGGCCCTGGCCTGCCTCGGCCTGCTCTTCCCCACAGACACCTCTCCCTCGACTTCCATAGGGTCCCCTTCCAGCTCATTTTCCTCCGCAGATTTAGGCATGACACCTTCTGAGTGGCTGGCTTTTAATCTTCTCCCTTCCTTCTCGAATAGTGGTCCACGTACATCCGGGCGACGGTGCGAAAGGAACGAGGACTTCCGGTCCTGGTGGAGCTCCTCCAGTCAGATTCAGACAAGGTGGTGAGAGCGGTATCCATAGCCCTACGGAATCTCTCCATGGACCGCCGTAACAAGGATCTCATAGGTGAGTCTTGCAAGGGGATTGTGGTGTGTGCAAGACCAAGGCTGACCGTTGCTTCCAGTTCAGCAGGTTGATTGCTGATGCTTAGATGATGATATGAGGAGGACAATGATGATGTTACCCATTCAGTCGAGTCCGACTCTTGGTGATTCTGCGGGCCGGGTCTCTCCCCATCTTCCAATCTTTGCCCTGCTTCTTTGAGTTGTTCTATGCTCTGCCTGGTGTCAGTTTTGATGGTATCCAGCCATCCAGTGTTCTTGGAAGTAAGACCTGAAGAATCTTTCTTTCTTTCCTGAGCCTCATGTCAGGAGGTTTTGTGTGGATAGGCTTACAAGGGTCCTTTAAAAAACGTGGATTCCAAGGCTTTCTCACAGTCAAATATACAGTAGTTTTAAGAATGAGAAGCAAAAGAAAAGCTGAATGATCTATATTCTTCAAAGATAAGGTGAGATGTTATTGGAACCACGAACGGACTACAGATAACCAATTTTGAGTTTTGCCATTCATCTATAGCAGGCATGTCAAACTCGCGACATCACATGACGTTGCGCAATGTATCGCGGCTTTTTCCCCATTGCCGGCAGTGGGGTGGGTGTGGTTTTGACGTAACGCATCCGGCCCGCAGGCCAGCAGTTTGACATGCCTGATCTATAGGGTTTCCTGCCTGAGCAGGGAGTTGGACTAGATGACCTCCAAGGTCCCTTCCAACATTATTATTATTATTATTATTATTATTATTATTATTATTATTCATTAGACATAAACCTCAGTCAACTGAACATTCAAATTGGCTGGCGCTGATGGTTGACACAGGTTGCTACCTTATTATTGTTGTTGTTGTTGTTATTATTATTATTGAATCTGGTCCTGGTTGTGTTCTGGTCTTGCCTATGTTGAGTTTGCCATCCAGAGCATCTCTAAAAACACCATCAGACCTGTCGGTCTTTTTTTTTTAAACCAAAAGAAAGGGAAAAAAATCCCAACGTCGATCATCTTTAAGCAACCGACCGCCGTTCCCGCTGAAATAAATGCATAATGGCTAGTATTCCACCAGGACTCGTGTAGTTTAATTGGGCTAATTGCAGTGAAATTTAGAAGAGAGTTAAATTCCCCAAACCAAACAACAAAGGTTAATCGTACGATGTTTTATGATGGGCAAAAAATAATAATAAAAATGAGTTTGGTGCCAAACGCAAATTAGCTGATGGATCTCAAAAACGTGAGGCTTGTTCAAAAAAAAAAAAAAAAGCGGCGGGCTTGTGGAGGTTCCTGGAATCTGTTTCAAACTTCTGATCTTCTAAACCTCGCTGACATTTTCAGGAGAAATGCTGGAAAATGAACTCATGTTGCAAGTACGGGGAGTCCTTGACTAAGGACAGTTGGAACCAGAACTTCCATCGCTAAGTGAAGCAATCATTAAGTAATCTGATTTTATGACCTTTTTTGCTGTGGTTGTTAAGCAGATCACATAGTCCTTGAGTGAATCTGGCTTCCCCTATTGGTTTTACATGTCAGCACCCAGATGGGAAGGTCACATGACCTCAGCATGATGCAGCCCTTGTCAATACACACCAGTTGCCCACACCCAAATCTTGCTATTTTAACTGCAGGGACATTGCTGCCGTCATAAGAGCAATGATCCGTTGTAAGTCCCCTTTTTTTCAGCACCGTCGTAACTTTATGCAGCTGCTAAATGAAGAGTCACAAATCAAGGATGTGAGAGCATGCACAGTCTTGTTGCGCTGAGGTAACCCAGGAGTAAATGCGGTACCCAGTGGTTTGTAATTAAATGTGGCTTATCACACAATATCTACAAATGTAGAAATAAGATACATACATGTGGGGAAACAGCAAACTTCAATACACAGCAATTACAGCAGTCAAACGGAGGAGAGAGAAGAAAATCCATCAAAAAAACCTTCCCTTTTATACTCAGGCTCTTAAAGGGATACACACACCTGCTGACTCATTCCTACGATTGCATCATCCACATTGCATCACATCTTTACATAAGCTGTTTAGCTATTCAATTATTATCCTGACAAAGGACTACCTGTAGGGGTTCTACCTTTAACTATAGCTGCCTTATTTTTCAGGTTAATAAAATCGGTTTGCAATGACAGACACGCCTTCTAATTTTTTTCAGGTAGCTACGCCATGGGGGAACTGGTAAGAAACTTGCCGAGCCGGCAACAGCGGTCTTCAAAAAACCTTGAAGAGGACACAATAGTTGCCGTCCTGAACACCATCCATGAAATTATTACGGACAGTTCTGAAAATGCCCGCTCCCTGATCCAGACGCAAGGCGTTCAGAAGCTGGTGGCTATCAGCAAATCCAGGTTTGCATCTGCAAAGAAATAATTCTAGTAATGTACCAAAAATGACAAGACACCTAAGGGGGTGACTTTTACTCACATCATCTGCTCTGTTGTTTCCTAGACTCAGGCACCAGATGTGGTGTAGACTTCAACTCCTAGAATTCTTAGCAAGAGTTGGCCGGCTGGGCGATTCTGGGAGTTGAAGTCCATACATAAAAAAGTGATATTCTGATATTCTTCGCACCAGTGATAGGTACAATTATAGTTCAACATCTCAGATTGAGGAGTTTTTATTAGTTTATCAAAGTATAAAATACAAAGAAAATGAAAATAATGGGGGGGGGGGAAGGAAAGATGAAAAAGTGTAGGGGAGAAGGGAGAAAGAAAAAAATTGACTTCCAACTCTTTTTAGTGTAATAGGATATCTGTCTGTCTGTCTGCCTGTCTATCCTCTATTTTCTATCTATATTATTTATCTATTTTTCTCTATCATATATCTTTCTATCATCTATTTTTCTGTCTATATCATTTATCATCTATATCTATCTATCTATATCTATCTATCTATGATATATCTGTATCATCTATTTTTCTAGCTATATCATTTATCATCTATCTATCATCTATCTAGATCAGTGGTTCTCAACCTTTCTAATGCCGTGACCCCATAATACAGTTCCCCATGTTGTGGTGACCCCCAAGTGGGTGTGGCCACCAATAAGAGGGAGTAGGACAGCTAGGGAAAAGGGAAAAAAATGGCGGACAGCATGGTTTGGTGACCCCCATGAAATGGTCGTTTGACCCCAAATGGGGTCCCGACCCATAGGTTGAGAACCACTGATCTAGATCTATCTATCATCTATCTATCTATCTATCTATCTATCTATCTATCTATCTATCTATCTATCTATCTATCATCTGTCTATCTATCATCTATCATCTATCTATCATCTATCTATCTATTTATCTATCATCTATCTATCTATCTATCTATCTATCTATCTATCTATCTATCTTTCATAAGGTTCCATACTCTATAATATAGTGTAATAGAATAAGGTTCTATGTATCTATATAAAACCTCATTTTTTTACTTTGGCATAATAATATATACTAGCCATTTCTATAACAACAAACCTACCTGATCAGCAAAACCCAAAATCAATGTTTAGATTTTTTTTCCCCACCTGAAGCACAAAGCCCAGCAGCGGTTTCCAAGTAGAAATGAAGTTGGTTTGGATTCTTTTCTTGAATTAAAGCAGTGGATTTAGCCATCTCTGCTAAGTCCGTTAGCTTTTGAAGCCGAAACATCCCGAGCTTGTAAGATGGATGGTCCTGAAACAATCCATCCCCAAATCTCACCGGTCTTTTGCATTTAAGAAGCAATGCCCCCCCCCCTCGTCTTTCAGATGAGCATTTAAAACACACTGCCATCACCACCCATCTTTAAATCTGCCATAAGTTGGAGTGGACACTGAGGCAAAGTCAATAAGATGAAACCATCAGTCAATTCCAGGGCCAAAATCCCCTGGCTTTCTGTGTCAGCGTTGTGGACGCATGAATCAAGCAGCATCCTTTAAGCAAATCCAGACATTTATTGGCAAACAAGGAGATGCGCGTCCTTCGTGAATATGCAGAGATAGGGAAAGCAGGGATGAGACTGTTAATAAAATAAATGGGCCAATGTGTGGGCATTGGCAGGAAGCAGAGAAGAGTTTGGGGGAAAAAAATCCTTATTTGGATCCCAACAGCTCTATTTTATTATTTGCTAATTTGAAGGATTAATGTGGTGGCCCAATTCGTAGCAATGACTAAAAAAGTCATTAGAGGAAAGAGGGGTGTGTGTGTGTGTGTGTGTGTGTGTGTTTGCATTTTAGCCTAACGCAAAGACTAGGGCAGTGAAGACGAGCCTATGACATATATGTCAAAGGTGACACAATACGATGTTTGGGGTACCACTGTTCACCAACACCTAACAACTATCTATATACAGTATATTAATTTTTTATAATCACAAGTGCTTAATATTTCATCAGCAACATATTGTCTGGGTTCCGACATTTAACTTACTAATACTGACATCATCTGAAAAATTGATGAAGAAACTTTAAAATATATGTTAATTTTAAAGATGGAAGAGGAACAAGTGAAAGAAACAATGACAACATGGTCAAAGAATTTTGGACATAACATAGAACTAGAAAGCTGTCAAAGCCTTTGGGAAAGAAATTCTAAAATAACAACAGTGGTAGCGTACAAAGAAAATTTATATACAATGTTTATAGATGGCATTTAACACCAGTGAGGTTAGCAAAAATGTTTAAAAATCTACCAAGCAATTGTTGGAAATTTAGACAAAAACCAAGCACTTATTACCATCTGTGGTGGACATGCTCTAAAGCCAAAAGAATGCACACATGGTTAGAGAAAAGGACTAAGAAACATACAGATTTTAAGCCAGAACTATTTTTGTTAGGCATAATTGTAGGAAATTGTGAGAAAGAATGTACATATTTAATTTTACACGTATTAACTGGAGCAAGAATCGTATTCGCTCAACATTGGAAAAATGAAGATTTACCAACGGAGGAAGAGTTAATTAAAAAAAAATTAGATTGTGCAGAAATGGATAGATGGACATTGAAAATGAAAGAGAAAGAAGATTCAGTTTATTTTAGAACATGGGATACCTTTGATCAATGGCTAGAAAAAACGAGGCAGAGAGAAAAGAGTTTAACATGTATTAGTAAGAAGTCTTAATTGTGCCATCAGCAAAGTCAAGTTAGACATTTTCTGATTTTTTGACACACGGAGACCAGAAGCTCACCATCACAGTTCACAGGGCATAATTCATATTCCTGTAATTGGCCCAGAGGGACAAATCACACATTCATACAGACCGTGGATGCTCCTTCTCTGATCAGTTTTCCTGTGTTGACCCAGCAGATGTTTCTCAGAAGCTGCTATCCATCTTGTCTGAGCATCATAAAAATGAATGATAAAGGAGAATATTCGTAGCTCAGGTTTAAAATCAGGGGTCCTTGATGCTCTCCGAGCTTGGCTGTTTTCCTGCAGACATTTTATGACCCAAATTAGGTAACACCATCAAACTAGCACTGATGACGTTACCTGGTTTGAATAATGAAACATTTGCAAGAAAACAACCAAGCTCAGAGAGAACCAAGGACCCTACAGTCCTTCCTTCCTTCCTTCCTTCCTTCCTTCCTTCCTTCCTTCCTTCCTTCCTCCCTCCCTCCCTCCCTCCCTCCCTCCCTCTCTCCCTCCTCCTCTCCATACATTCCACCCCCTTCTAGACCCTAGTTTGGGTCATGAAACATTTGCAAGAAAGCAACCAAGCTCAGAGAGAACCAAAGACCCCTGATCATAACTATATTTATTATGGGATAAATATGAGAAACTCCTAATTTTGTGGGTGGTTTGATGCTTGCAGAAGTCAAGCTCCCCATTCAGTTGAAAGGGCCATGGAAATCAAGGACTTTAGAGAGCTCCAAGTGATGGCTTCCTGCTGGTTTCAGTTGACCTGAGTGAGGACAATAGAAGGAAGTTGTCTTCTACAATCTGTGGTAACTTTAGTTCATCTGATGAAGCTATCCAGACTTGCTTTATCAGTCTCAGGGATCACAAAGTGAATCAGGACAGATTTCTCTTGGAGGCTCCCATAGAATGCTTCCACCATGACCTGCAAAGCGACTTCTTTTGAAATAATTTTACAGATACGGCTGACCAATTCCTCTGCAATTGATGTGTGTTGGCTTCCTTTTTGTGTCTGTGTGTTTCCTCTCCCGCCTCTTCCAAATCAGCCAGTCCTCCAGAGAAATGAAAGCAGCTTCTCACGTTCTTCAAATGACCTGGAGCTACAAAGACCTAAGGAATGTTTTGCAGAAGGAAGGCTGGAATAAGTCTCATTTCCAGGTAAGGACACCCATGCAGTCTCTAGCTGAGGATCGCAGTAAGAGCTCAGAGCCAGTTTGGTCTAGTGGTTAAGGCACCAAGCTAGAAAGCAGGAGATGGTGAGTTCAAGTCCCACCTTAGCCATAAAAGCTGGCTGGGTGGCTTTGGGCCAATCACTCTCTCCCTCAAACCAGCCCACATCACAGGATGGCAGTTATGGGCAAAATAGGAGAAAGATGTGTTGGATATGTTTACCACCTTGAGTTATTTGTAAAAAAATAAAGGCAGGATGTGATAGATAGATAGATAGATAGATAGATAGATAGATAGATAGATAGATAGATAGATAGATAGATAGATAGACAGATAGACAGACAGACAGACAGACAGAGATAGCTAGAGAGATAAAGATAGATAGATAGATAGATAGATAGATAGATAGATAGATAGATAGATAGATAGATAGATAGATAGGTGAAAGATGGATAGATAGATAAAAGATGGATAGAGCAAGTAAGGATGGATGGATAGATGGACAGATAGATGAAAGAAAGAAAGAAAGAAAGAAAGAAAGAAAGAAAGAAAGAAAGAAAGATAGAAATTGAGCTCATATTGGCCCCTGCAACATAGTCATTCCTTCGCATGGGCAAATAAAAACAGAATGGTACACTGCAAAATAATTTTACAACAATCCATTTCCCACATGAAGGAGATCCGGATTCAACAAGATCATTGGACGAGATAAAAGTATATCTGCATTTATAATCTGCATTCTCAGGTCCAAGGAAAATATTATCCTGTCCTAGGGAAACCAGCTATGGGTCGTGGGAATAGGGGAGAGTTTTTTTTCGGAGCGTGTATTTCACAACCACTTTTCAGTATGGATTTTGCTTCCTGCTCTGTTGTATGCAAACCACTGATAATTACCTTTGTTTTTTTTTTTTAAAAAAAAAACATTCCAGTCTGCCTCAGCCACTGCGAAGGGATCCAAAAGCACCTCTTGTAAATCTGGATATGATGACAGCACATTGCCTCTGGTGGATAAAAGTCAAGGTCTGTGCTCTTCCCAAGGGCGTAATTGCCACTGGGTCCAAGTGAGATGAGATTTTATTTATTTAATTGCATTTCTGTGTCCTGGTGGTGCAGAGGGTTAGAATGCAGTGCTGCGGGAAAATTCTGCTGACTCTGCCCACTGCCAGCAGTTCGATTCTGACCAGCTCAAGGTTGACTCAGCCTTCCATCCTTCCGAGGTCGGTAAAATGAGGACCCAGATTGTTGGGGACAAAATGCTGACTCTGTAAAGAGAGAGAGGCTGTATAAAGCACTGTATAAGTCTAAGTGCTATTGCTATATCACTTTATGGGCAATGTTTTCTAGGCCATTCCCTAATCAGCACTGCCCAATCTTCAAGAATGATGTCCTGGATTTGGATCCCATTCAAACCGAGTTCTATTTTTTCTTTTTTATAGATAACGAGAAGACCGGAAGCCGGGATATGATTCCAATGGATGAACTTGGACCAGGTAATGGTGGATAAAACCTACCCCAGTCACTGTTGATGCTGTAGTCGACCTTGTCACTCATTCTGGAGTTTCATGTATTCTCCAGGAGACGTTTACTCAGCAGAATGACCGTCATCCCTCCCCAATTTGTGTCTTTTCAATGGTAGTTAAGAGTAGCAGAACCTTGGCCAGGGGTAGGCAACCTTGGCTCTTTTATGGCTCGTGGACTTCAACTCCCAGAATTCTGGGAGTTGAAGTCCACAAGTCATAAAAGAGCCAAGGTTGCCTACCCCTGACCTTGCCAATCTGTCTATGCTTAACTAAGCCTTCACCCCTTATACTCATGTGAATTGAGGAGGTGTCTATCTGAGCCAGTTTTTGTTTGGATCTTAAGTGTCTATGGAAATTCTCAAACATCCAGACCCGAAAATGCTTTTTCAAAAGACAACTGGACTTTCTTGTTTCTGGAGCTTAAGATACTGTATATTTTTTTCCCTTACCACCGATAACAGATCTGGCCTATCTCTAACTAATCTTCCTTAATCTCCACCTAACCCTCCAGCTCTGAGGTCTCCTTGTAACAAGAGCATCCTTTGTGCAAGCCATTTTATAAGCCTCAAACCTTCCACTATGAATCACATCATAGGCTGGATTTGCATTCCTAGAGACAAATCTGCTGTTTTGCCCAGGGCAAAATCTTGATACTTGAAGAGGTTTCATAATGGGGGTGATAGTGGAGAAGGAAGTTGACCAGGCAACGGTTAGATAAGAGGCAGCTTAGCCCACAGGAGACACGAGGCAGGGCAAAAAAAAATCTCTAAAGGGACCCCCTTGTAAAAGTAAGGGTGGAGAGAAGCACTTTCAGATGTGCAAGGTTCCATTACTCTAAACTTACAGTAAAGGTACTCGTGATTGGTGTCTAGGAAGATTCTCAGTCCTCCAGGTCGTGGTTGTCCCAAATGTGCTTTTTCAGGAGATAAGTGGACTTCCTTCTTTTTCCTTGAAGACATTTTGCTTCTCACTCAAGAAGATTCTTCAGTTCTGACAGACTCAGTGAAGGGACCCAGGGCAGAAAACATCCTATGGCCAAGAAGGCTCCACACCCAGTTGCAGCACTCAGGTGACCCTGAGAATCCAGGTAAACCTCCAGGTGGCCTCAGCTACTCTCTAAAAGGATGCCAATGACCAGCTGTCTGCAAGGAGTATAAGTCCTTCCATTCCCCCACCATCCAGTCAGAGCTGAAGAAGCTTCTGGGATGAGAAGTGAAACATCTTTTAAGAAAAACAAGAAAGTCCAGTTGCCTCAGAAAAGTACCTTTGGGACACTCGTGATTGGTGCTTCTTGTCTGGATGACTTCTAAGGGCTTTCACCAAGTTGAAATGGCACTCCTTTTGGGCCAGGCAACTGCTTTCTTTACAACCAGCGTCTGTTCTTCACAGATGGTTACTCTACCATCGATCACCGGGACAAGGAGCGGAAATACAAAACCAACGACAACATGGGAGACGCCTCGGAGAAAGAACCACTAAAGGTAAGCAGCTCTCTTTTGAGTCCGTTTCCTCCCAAAGCTACATCTGATCTGCCCTGCATTTGCAGGAAGGAGTAAGACAGAGCATGTGTGCACTTCTAAGCGGCCATCACTAGGAGTTGAGATGAACTGGAGAGGAAGTCATTTCCTGGTGGTCTTCACCGCATACTTCTGACAATCGCAGTGTTGCAAGGAAGGCGTCCCTTGTAAGACGGGCAAACTCTTCATATATATTTTATTTTATTTTATTTTATTATTTATTTATTATTTATTATTTTATTTTACTTACTTTACTTATTTTATCTTATTTATTTTATTTATTTTTACTTTATTTTGTTTATTTTATTTTATTTTTTATTTTATTTATTTCATTTTATTTATTTTATTTTATCATTTTATTTATTTTAATTTGTTTATTTTGTTTATTTCATTTTGTTTATTTTATTTATTTGTTTATTTTATTTAATTTTATTTATTTTATTTAATTTATTTCATTTTATTTATTTGTTTATTTTATTTAATTTTATTTATTTTATTTAATTTTATTTATTTCATTTTATTTATTTTTATTTTATTTTATTTGTTTATTTATTTTATTTTATTTATTTCATTTTACTTATTTCATTTATTTTATTTGTTTGTTTTATTTTATTTATTTATTTCATTTTATTTATTTTATTTATTTTGTAATCCACTCATAGAAAATTTACCACGGCATCTTATCTATCCCCAAAAGCATCCCAAAAATTATAAATAGATCAAATATGGGTCAAATATCAGGTGCAAACTCTCCATGTTGAACCTGGTGTGTGCAACCTCTCTCAGGCTGACAACCACATTTGGCCTTGAACTAGTGGCCCAACCCTTTGTAAGTGTTCATTTGGTCCGGTGTCCACTGAGCAAGAAATATCAGTGAGGTGTCTATGCCATATTTCTGGCTAAACTGGCTGTAGCCATTGTGGGAACACAAAAAAGTTTAGCACTTATTCCGATGCATGCACATGTGTATATGGGAATTTAATGCTGTTGATTTCCAGTATTTGTTCATGTATATAGATATTCCTCGACTTAAACCATTCAAAGTAACAGCAGCACTGGAAAAAAAGTGACGTAGGATCGTGTTTTCACACATTAACCTGTTGCGTTTTGCCTTTATAATGCCCCCTCGCCCCATTGCAGCATTCTCCCACAGAATCCGAATCCAGATGCTTGGCAACCGACTCATATTTATGATGGTTTGCAGCGTCCCAGGGTCACACAAGTCCCCTTTTGTGACATTCTGACACGCAAAGTCAACAGGGGACGCTGGCTTCGCTTAACAGCCGTGTGACTAACTTAACTCCTGTAGGGATTCAGTTAACTCCTGTTGTAAAAGGGGGGGGGAAACCTCACTTAGCAAGTGCCTCGCTTAGCAACACAAATTTGGGGCTTTCTTGTGGTCGTAAGTTGAGGACTACCTATATCCAGCCACGTTTTGCGTGTCAGCCATGCTCCTCTGATCTGCTCGTCCTTCTCAATTACGAATGAAGTTTGCCACGGACCAGCCACCGATCCTCGAATCCTCCATTTCTTTTTCTCGTGACTCCCTGTCTCAGCAACTAATGCTTCCTGCAGACCTTTTGAACGGACGTGTGTGTTTGCTGATTCCGTTTAATCGATTAATCTGTTGTGTGTTTTGCCTCTTTAACACCCACCCCCCCTCACCCCGCTGCAGAATGACACAAATAGGAAAACGCTTAACAGGAGCAACAGGCCTTCGGTGACTTTGGTGGACACGCGAGATTCTAAACCCCAGCCTGTTGACTCCTGGGTCTAACATTGCATGTATGGTAGGTTCGTGGTTGTTTTCCCCCCCCCCCACAATTGTTGGTCCCGGTGATTAACTTGTCTCCGTTTCAGCATGACTTCGCATCGTGGCTTGTTTTCTCTCTCCCCGTCGGTCAGGCTTCTTTCAAGGCAGAGGCAGATATGTAAAGAAGGCAACGGAGAGAGACCTTGGGGGCGCAAAGGTTAGCAGCATTGCAGGCTAACTGACTGCCCACAGCCAGGAGTTTGATCCTGACCGGCCGAAGGTTGACTCAGCCTTCCGTCCTTCCGAGGTCGGTAAAGTGAGGATCCAAATTATTGGGGGGCAACAGAAGCTGTAAACACCTTTAGAGAGGGCTGTAAAGCACTGTGAAGCGGTCTGTAAGTCTAAGTGCTTTTGCTTTTGTGATGATAGATGATAGATAGATAGATAGATAGATAGATAGATAGATAGATAGATAGATAGATAGATAGATAGATAGATAGATAAGGTAAGGTAAGGTAAGGTAAGGTAAGATGATAAAGGGAGGTGAGATGAGATGAGATAAGATAAGATAAGATAGATAATAGAGAGGGGTACAGAGAGAGAGAAACAGACAGGAAAATAGATGATAAATTATATAGATAGATAAAAAATAAATGAGATAGATAGATAGATAGATAGATAGATAGATAGATAGATAGATAGATAGATAGATAGATAGATATTGAGCAAATAGATGATAGATGATAGAGGTGGTACAGAGAGAGAGAGAGAGAGAGAGAGAGAGAGAGAGAGAGAGAGAGAGAGAGAGAGAGAGATGATATAGATAGATGATAGACAAATAGAGCTGGAAGGGACCTTGGAGGTCTTCTAGTCCAACCCCCTGCTCAAGCAGGAGACCCTATACCATTCCGGACAAGCGGCTGGCCAATCTTTTCTTTTAGCGATGGAGCATCCACAACCTCTGGAGGCAAGTCACTCCATTAGTTAATTTGTTCTAAGTGTGACTTTGTGACCAAGTGGACTTTCCTGCTCCCAATGGTACGGCTGTTCAGGCCTCCCTCCTAACACACGAGGGACGTGCCCCAACTTTCCACGCGTACAGAGCACATAAGGATCTGGGACGCCGTGAGAAATCACCAGGCTGAGCTACCAGGATATATAGTAGCTTGTACAAGGAGCATCCGTGCGGTAGAAAAAGCGACTTGAAAATAAATCAGAAGTGTTTTGAAATGAGAGGAGAGGCTGGATTTGCACAATTAACCTCCTAAGGGGCATCTCTCGCCATGGGGATAGAATTAGGGGTTGGGATTATTGCTTGAAGAAGGGGAGGGTACTCTAAATCAGGGGTCCCCAACCCTCCGTCTGTGGACCAGTACTGGGCCGCAGCATGCCAGCAACCGGTCCGCACAAACAAGCAAAACCCCATCCATGGGATGCAGGTAGCACACAAACCACACACTCTCCGGTCTGCGGAAAAAACTCCACGGAACCGGTTCCTGGTGCCCAAAAGGTTGGAGACCTCTGCTCTACATGCTCGTTTTGGATGGGCGGGGGGGGGGCTGGCATTGTTCTCTCTTCCCACCTGTTGGCTCCAAAGCCTACCTCGCCACCTCTGTCCTTGAAATTAACCGTCTTTGGTTTGCCTTCTTTCTGCAGGGCTAAACTCCAGCTGCTTGTTTTACGATTCTCGTTCTCCATTGTTTCCCTCGGTTCAAAGAAGACTCTCGACACAGACACACAGACACACCCCAACACAAAACATACAAACGCGAAAGGTTTACAATGAACCCATCACTGCCATTCTGACTGCAGAATCGGTGACACCAGCCAAAGCTGCAGACTTGAAGGTTGAGGAGAAGAGCCATCAAATGTCACCTGGAGGGCTCGCTCGTGCCCGGGACCGTTCTTCTGCTTTGGAAGGAAATTTCCCCGTCCCATTCCAGGAAAAGGAAAAAGGGAAAAAAGGAAGGCAAACACGGAAAACTGATCTCTCTCTTTCTCTCTCTCTCTCTCTCTCTCTCTCTCTCTCTCTCTCTCTCTCCACCTCGCAGCAGGAGGAATCGCCATTCCAAAAGAGAACGGCAAGTTTAGGTCAGCCAGGTTTGGTTCGTCATGGACTCTTTGGGCATAGATGGTGCCAAGTTGGGAGAGGAAAGTCAAGAGAAGAGAAAAGGGGAGGTGGGGATGAAAGAAAGAACTGAAAAGGGGTTCTGAATGAAAATCTCCAGGATATTTGATATGATAAGTATAGTTGTTATTAAAAAAAGGCACTTTTCCCTTCCTTCCTTCCTTCCTTCCTTCCTTCCTTCCTTCCTTCCTTCCTTCCTTCCTTCATTTCTTCCTTCTTTCCTCCTTCCCTTCTCTCCCCCTCTTCTTTTCTTCCTATTCCTCCTCTTCCTTCCTTCCTTCCTTTTCTTCCTTCCTTCCTCCTTCCCTTCTCTCCCCCTCTTCTTTTCTTCCTTCTATTCCTCCTCTTCCTTCCTTCCTTCCTTTTCTCCTTTTCCCTTACTTCCTCCCTCCCTCACTCGCTTCTCTCCCCCTCCTTTTTCTTCCTTCCTTCCTCTCCTTCCTCCCTCCTTCTCTTTCATTCTCTTTCTTTCTTTCTTTCTTTCTTTCTTTCTTTCTTTCTTTCTTTCTTTCTTTCTTTCTCTCTCTTTCCTGTGAATTTTTAAAAGAGAAAACCAAGATTGAGGGTGATGGGTTTTTATTTTCCCCTCTCCCCATTTTTTTTTTTTTTTGTGTGGGCTGTTGTTGAAGTTTTCATTCTGATCCTCGGGGGAAGCACAGAGGTTGTGCCAAGTTGGGAGGGTTTTTGATGAAAAGAGAGAAAGAAAAACCAAACGCAAATGAACGTTGTGGCGGTCAGGCTTAGAAAAAAAGAAGGAAGCCAACATCCACATGAGCGCCAGTCTGCTTTTCAAGCTAAGGGCATCCCATGGTGCTTATCTCTATTATCCTCGGTGTACAATTCATCTCCTTTTCTGGATTCTGCCCTGGTTTTGGACACAGGAACCGATGTGCAAAGGCTTCGATTGCAGTTTTACTCTTCCGAAAAAGAAAGAAACAGAAATCTCAACTCACCGTAGCTGATTTTTCCCGGTTGACGATGTCGTTCTTAATTTCCAGTCGGTTCTAATGTCCAATGAGATTCCAGCTGATCTAATTTCCCTCATCCTGAGCCACATCGACCCTCTACCACGGACAGCGCTTCTGATTTAAGAAGGACCTTTATTTTAAGGTCAGATCGAACCCCAAACGGTCAATTCTTTCTGGGTTTTTCTTCAGGAACCGCTCCCTTCCCTCTCCTGTGTTTTATTTTCACTCTGCTTTTAACAAAGATATATAAATATATACACACACATACACGCGCACAGAAACAAACACATACTTGCTGTTGATTGGTTTTTAAAAAAAAACAAAGAAAAGAAAAAAAATTAAAAAAACACAAAACTACCCATGTCTGGATAATAGCAGGCCATCTTTGGAGGTCCTCCCTTAGTCCGGAGAGTAAATTCCATCAAACTAAAGGGATATTCCTTTTAGTCTGTAATTAGGGTTGTATACGTGAGGGAAAACTGACATTTGTGTGTGGAAAACGCTTGTCTCCGGTTTCATGGCCCTCTGGAACTCAGTCGAGGCATACAGCCCTTCATTTGGTGACCGTTTGGAGCCACAACGGCAATGAAAAAGAGATTTCTGATTGTGTTGCCACCCTTAATAACCCTTGCCACATCCCTTATGTGTTGTGTACAGGTAGTCCTTGTCTTACAATTGGGCCCCAAACTATCTAAGCCAAGCAAGTGAGGTTTGCCCCATTTGACAATCTTTTTATCACTGTTGTTAAGTGAACTGTGCAATTGTTGAGTCAATCTGATTTTGTTTGTCGGGAGGTCGCAAAGGACCCTGCAACCGTCATAAATAGGAACCAGTTGCCAAGCATCCGAATTTTGATCATGTGATCTTGGGGACACTGCAACCGTCATAAGTACATGCCAATTGCCAAGCGTCGGAATCTTGATCACATGACCAAGGGCAGGGGTAGGCAACCTTGGCTCTTTTATGACTTGTGGACTTCAACTCCCAGAATTCCTGAGCCAGCCATGCTGAGGGGAAAGGGAGAGGTTTCCAAGCTGAGCCATGCTGGCTCAGGAATTCTGGGAGTTGAAGTCCACGAGTCATGAAGGAGCCATAGTTCCCCCATGCTGGCTGAGGAATTCTGGGAATTGAAGTCCACGAGTGATGAAGGGGCCATAGTTCGCCCATGCTGCCTTAGGAATTCTGGGAATTGAAGTCCACGAGTCATGAGGGGGCCAAGCTTGCCTACTCCTGACCAAGGGGATGTGGCAACAGTTATGAGGGTTAAACACAATCAGAAGTCCCTTTTTCGTTGCAGTTGTGACTTCAAACGGTCACCAAACGAACGATTGTAAGTTGAGAACTTACCTGTAGTGGTCTTTTGAGTTTTAACCAGGTTAATTTCATTGGGGTTATGTCTGTGGTAAGAAAACAAAAGCTGGATTTTCATTTTTATTTCATTTTATTTTATTTTTGATTCCGATGGCTTCTTTCTTTCATGGTTGCTGAAAAAATTATTTGGTTGCCAATATTTACTGAAAGTGTGTGGTTTTTTGAAAGCACATTTCTTGGTTTTTTTTTATTTGTTTTTATTTTGTTTTGAATCCAGCAAGATTAATTTGAGGGATTTTTTTTTTTTTTAGTGCCTGCTGCGTCCTTTGTAATTTAAACATGAAAAGGGGTCAGGGGTGGGGACAGTGGGAGGGAGAATAAAACACAACAAAAAAATTCCTGCATTCGTTGAGCATCTCACATTTTTGTAAAAAAAAAACAGAAAAAAAAATTAAAAATCCGTTTAAAAAAAATAAAGGAAAGAAAATATTAACAAAGGGGGTAGGTGGGTGGGAAGCAAGCGTCAAAAGCTTTGTATCTTCTGGAGTATAAAGAAAAATAAAATTTGACATGAATGACATATATAAATAAATATCTATATCTCTATATATTGTTGTGCAGAAAAACTAGGTTGCCAAACTTAAAATAACCTTTGTAGCAAAGAAAAGCATTTTTTTTTCCTCCTTTGATTCAGGGAAAGCCGGTGCTGTTTTAGCAATTTGAATGATTACAGAGACATTATTTACCACTCAGAACTTCTTCCCCTGTCGACGTCTCGATTCCAAGTTGCTTTTTAAGTAATTAAAACAAACAAACAAAAAAATACAAACCTTCGGCGCGTCGTCCGGCTGTTTAGTAAGTAGGCCAAGGTGGGTCAGCCTTTATGTACGGATCGATTTTGATTCAAAACTCCTTCGAATGGTGCTTTTTTTTTCATATTTCTACTCTTGGTAGCTGGGAATCACCTTTCTTAACGGAAGCTGTACATTTTATACCATCTTTAAAACTCAGATAGCCGTCTTTTCTTTTTTCTTCTTTCTTTTTGTACAGGAAAATTGGAGGGGAGGGTGTTTTGGTTCCGTCTTTTTTTGCCTTTGTTTCTTAAAAAAATATAAAAGGGGGAAAAAAACTCACCTGCATGTTTTTTTTTTTTAGCAAACTTGAGTCTGCTGAGTTTTTAGTCTGGTGGGAGGGATGAGGCTTAAAAGTCAAACTGGGCTTTTCAAGTTGCTTTCTTCCTCTCTAGGGTTAGGGTTTGGAAATCAATACAGGTGGTCCTCGGCTTACGACAATTGAGCCCCAAGTTTCTCTTGCTGAGCAAGACAACTGTTAAGTGAATTTTGCCCCATTTTGCGACCTTTCCTGACACAGCTGTTAAGTCGGGCTGTTGGTTTGAGCTCTGAGCTGGGCAATGTGGTTGCAAACATTTCATCACCATCCGAGGAGACGTCAGTGCGCTTTGAATTGTGCTCATCTGTCAGAGCACTGGCCTTTAAATACCTTTATATGTGATGGCAATTGGAATGAATGTTATTTGTTCGGCTATTTCCGAGCCGCGGTCTGGTTTTGGGCCATTTGATTGGATGATTGTTGCTGGACCACAGTCTTTGGGGTTAAGTACCATCTGTGTGATGCAAATACTGCGGCCCAGCAACAACAACCATCCAATCAAACAGCCTGAAACCAGACCATGACTCAGGAATATCCGAACAAATAACATTCATTCCAATTGCCATTGCATACAAAGGTATTTAAAGGCCAGTGCTCTGACAGACGAGCACAGTTCAAAGCGAATCCCATCAGTTGTTAAGTTAGAAACACAGTTGTGTAGTGAATCTGGCTTCTCCCGTTGACTTTGCTTGTCAGAAGATTGCAAAAGGGGATCACGTGACCCTGGGACACTGCGACCATCATAACTATGAGTCAGTTGCCAAGGGTCTGAATTTTGATCACATGACCCAAAGTGTGGAAAAACCGTCGGCGCTCCCTTTTTTTCAATGCCGTTATAACTTTGAACGGTCTGTAAAGTTCTAGTTTGTTCAATGGCTGCAAAGTCTTTTCTAGGATGATCAGGAGATGTTTGTGAGTCCTCAGCAACTTTAATATGTATGAACTTCATAGTACAAGGAATAATAGAGTGGGAAGGGACCTCAGAGGTCTTCTAGTCCAGCCCCCTGCTCGAACAGAAGACCATACACCATTTCAGATCAACAATTGTCCAGTCTCATTTTTGAAAGCCTCCAATGATGGAACCCCCACAACTTTTGGAGGGAAGCCATTCCACTGATTGATTTGCTCTCACCAGTAGGAAGTTTCTCTTTAGCTCTAGGTTACTTCTCTCCTTGGTTAGTTTCCAACCATGGTTTACATATCTTGCCTTTTGGTGCTTTGGAAAATAGGCTGATGCCCTCATCTTTGTAGGAGCCCCTCAGATATTGGATTTGTGCTTCAACTCCCAGAATTCCTCAGCACGCATGCTGGTCCACATACCTTAAAGTTACCAAGGTGGAGAAACATTGTTCTTTCTCACAAGATCCAGAATAAAAACAAGGAACATTAGTTTTCCCCTGATTTGCCTTGGGCATACCATCAAGTGCTCCTTTCAGATTCCCACACTCAAACACTGTAGGGAAGTTGGGAGGGACCTTGGAGGTCATCTAGTTCAATCCCCTGCTCAGGCAGGAAACCCTATACCATGTCAGACAAATGGCTGTCTTTTCCCTTCTTAAAAACTTCCAGTGTTGGAGCATTCACCACTTCTGGAGGCAGGTTGTTCCACTGATTAATTGTTCTAACTGTCAGGAAGTTTCTCCTTAATGTTGATGGTGATCTCTACCTTGTTAGTCCTTTTTCCATTGACCCTCAAAAAGGCTGAAGTGCGTTTTTTTTAAAGCTGTGATCAGGATAGCAAATGCCTGTAAGCAAAGTGTAAGATTGGACAGAGAAGGGAATTCAGTACAGTATCCCAAGGACGGATCAGACCCGATCCCAGTTTGTTCAGGTTTAGAGCATTCCGTTGATGGATTCCAATGGCTGATGCCGTTCAGGTTGCCCGATAAATCCAGATTTATTTATTTTTTAAATTAGATCTTTGAGTGAATCCAATCTGGAAAGTTGTTAATGGGAGGGAGAAAATATCCCGGTAACAATCCAATTATCAATTCAGTTTGCAAGCATCCAAGGCGATCAAACGGTTCGATCCGAATTAGCCCTCCGATCTGGAAATGATGTTTTCCTTCAGAGGTTTTACTCGTGATAGGATCTCTAAGCTTACCTTTTGCACGTTTGCACCTCGGGTGCTTCTTCATATTTTGGGTTTTCATTGATAGGATGGCGAAAGAATCCATACCTTGTACAGCTTTATATATAGCACCGGTCTGGAGTTTGCACTTTGACAAGACCAAAAACAACAACAAAAAAAACTAACCCAACGATGTAGGCCATCAATATCATCTCTTCTTCTGGACTTTTGCAGCCAGAAGTCCACACGTCTTCTGTAGCCATCCTTGATTCAACTACCTTTAGATAGTTGCCTTGTGGAGATCCATTATCTAAATTCTTGGACCTGATCTGACAAAATGCATTTTTTACTTGATCAAAGTGTTCTCTCCCCCGTGGCGTCGCCAACCAAAATAGAGCTCAGACTTGTACGTGTGTGAACAGATTGAGGTGGTAGACGAAATATCAAAGAGTTTTGGGGCGGACGGTGTTATTTAACCCAGCCAGATGGCATCGGAAAGGAATTAATTAATAGAGCGATGCATGTCCCCTATCAATCTGGCCTGGCTAATTTTTTTTTTTTATTTCCGCTTTCTTCTTTGCAACTCCCACGTGGGGGAAAAAAAATAAAAAAATAAAAACAGCCTGCATGAAAACGTGCATGCATTTTCCTTGTGCATTTCTTTTGTGTTCTCCAATATGCAAACATTGTGTGGCCAATGTTCCTCCTACAACAATGCACCTTTTGTGTCTCGATTTTCCCTAGTGTGTGGGCATTTGCGTTCTTTGGGTGGGTTGCAATCAGCGTTGCAAACTTCTGGAAAAGTTGGGGTTTGGGTAGGCGACTGTGGCAACACAGATTAGTTTCAGGAAACATAGATTAGAAGAATCTTTCTCAATCTCGGCAACTTTTGAAGGGGCGTGGGCTTCCACTTCCGGAATTCCTCAGATGAATTCTGGGACTTGAAGTCCACGCACCTTATAAAAGTTGCTAAGGTTGAAACACACTGGATAAGAAAACACACAGACATGTTTATATACCTCCCAATGGGAAATTCAGATGTGCCTCTTCTTCTTCTTCTTCTTTTTTTAATCATTTAGGAGAATCATTTAGCAATTCAACATTGCTTGGTTTTTTTAAAGTCTAGGATTTGGACTCTGTGTCTTTAATCGGATTATTCATGCAGTTTAGCTTGATTTTTTGGGGAAATGTTTTCATTTAAAAAAATGAGGAAAAGAATTAAAATATCGAAGTTGGTCCATCCATGCTTGTGAGGAAAAATTAGAAGCTAAGGGACAAACACGGTAGCTTGTTGCATATGCAAGTAAAATTAAAATAACAGATAGGCCTCGACTTATGACAGTTGGGCCCCAGATGTGTTTGCTAAGTCAGACTTAATTGAGTTTTTGTCCCATTTTTCGAACTTCTTTGCCAGTTGCTAAATGAACTGCTGCAGTTGTGAAGTTAGGAACATGGTGGTGAAATTGACTTTGTCGCAAAAGGGGAATCACAGGATCCCGGGACGTGATGCCGTCAAAGGGGATCCGGAGAGCGTGTTGAATTGCATCGCTACGTACTGTGGCCAGCATGAGTGGGCCATGAGCGTTGGGGATGAGAGAGGTAACTAACATTTCACCTTCTTTTAAGAGATTTTTTTTTTTAAAAAAAAAAAGATGTCAGAACAGATGGACTATTCCTAGCTAAGAACTGAGAGCCTCTCTTTTAGATTAGCCTTCCATTTAACAAGCTGCCTTCTCTTTTGGACTCGTTAAAAGGAGAAACAGAAATATGTAGATCGGTGGTCAAAGAAACAGAGAGGTGAAAAGCAGCTCAAAGCAAGCAAATAGGTAGTTCTCATCTTAGGACCACAGGTGAGCCCAATTTTTGTTGCTAAGCGAGACCTTTGTTAATCAAACTTTGCCCCATTTTATGACCCTTTGTTCAGCGAATCACTGCAGTCGTTAAGTAAGAAACACGGATGTTATGTGAATCTGGCTCTCTCCTGGACTTCGCTCTGTCAAAAGGTCGCACAATTTGATCCGGGGACACGGCCAATGATGCGAGTGTCTCACCCTTCATGCCCAATGTAAGATATTGTGGGAAAACCAAACATCTAACCCCCTAACCGATGTGTTTGTAACAATCATGTGCCTTAAATTTTTTTCTCGTTGGGGGGGGGATTAGGGATGCGGTGAAGGGTCGGGAAGAATCCTAACCCTAAAATGAAACCCACACTTGTCTTTCTGTAACCTTCCCAAGACCAATGCGGTGGTTTTAGGCTGGGGGGGGGTGGATGGTCCCTTTTTTTGCATTGTATTTGTACTGTACAACAAACCGATCCGTTTGGTTTTAAGACTATAGGGAGCGGGGGGACAGAGTTTGCTTTCACACGACCCATGTTTAAACGTAATCCGAATGTATTAATATTATTCTAGGACATTTCCGTAACCCTGATGAGTAGAATGCTTGATGAAAACCAGGTGTGTAGGTTTAACAGTTTGGTGTGTTTTCAATAAACGATGCCTGGAACGAATATGTCTCGTGTCTCCGTTCTTTTGGGCTTTCCCTGCAAAATCAGGTAAGTGTTTGTGGTGTTTGCAAAACAAAAGGATTTATTTATTTTTTTGGTTCAAGGATCAGTGATCTCCTGATTTCTCTTAACCCAGCGTGGATCTTTGATGGACGGGAGGGAAATACTTTCTCCTTCCTTTTGTTTGGTAAATAGTAAATTTTATTAGAGTTTACAAATACAAAGATAAACTAATAGGAACTAATAAAAATGTAAAAAGGAATCAGATGCATTGAAAAAGTGCAAAAAGAAAATAGATGATAGATTAGATAGATAGATGATAGATAGATAGATGATAGATAGATAGATAGATAGATAGATAGATAGATAGATAGATAGATAGATAGATAGATAGATAGATAGATGGATGGACGGTAGGTAGAATGACTGATGGAGCAACAAATGGATGGCTGGATAGACAAGAAAAAACATACAAATGACTTCACCCTTCATCAAGACAAATACAAGCAATACACCTTTCTTGATACAATAACAAAGGATATCTTCTTTACATATCTCTTGTCAATAAACAGATTCTTAAAAGCTCCCATCTTTAAATCCTAATCAGCAAAAGTCCATTAAGATTTACCAGAAACAGCAACATATGTATTTTAGCCTTAATCAAATAAATCTGTTTCATAGTCCTTTACTTTTAACACAATCATTTACAACTTTCTCTAAAATATACATTTAAAAAACAATACCTTCTCCTTTCTTTCCAAGTGTGCTAATATGACCGTGGTGCTGCTAGTAAGGGGAGGAAATTAAGCATTCTCTTTTTCCATTTTAATTTTTCCCTTTCATGGCTCTCATTATCTTTTGGTCTGGAGTTTATCGTGGGTCTCAGCAGCTGGGAGGATGGAGGCGTAATGAACGATTCATCGGATATTAGGTTGTGGTTGGTTCGGATATCCAGCTGAATCCAGTTCGCCACTTGGTTGAAATATAATTTATGGGAATCCCTCTATCAGCCTTACTAAGCAGATCAGACAGGAAACCCAGCCAGATAAATTAAATCTGCTTAATTGTAAAGCTAGATTAGCAGAATGTTGCAAGTGTGAAATTACAGCCCCCTTCCTATACAACTCCCAAAACTAGGGAGGGTTCTCTCTCAGACTTCCTTCCGTTATACAGCTATGGGCTATGCAATCTCTTATCTGATAGTTCCTTAGGTGGTGTCTCTTGATCCAGTCTCTCAAGATCTTCTCTCTCATCTGGTCTCCAGTTCCCCCTATGTACTGTACTAGATGATATTTTATTCCAGGACTGGCCTGAGGTTTGGTACAAAAAGGACTGAGATGATATAAAGAATTTTAAAACCAGGAAGGAAATTTGTTTGGAAAGGTGATTTGTTCCGAGTCGGCCTAAAACTGATTTTCAAACTCATGGGGGTTAAGCTTTGGCAGAAGCTGCCATTTTGTCCTGTTGCTTTTTGCCACTTTTGTTTCTTTCCTTGTCCTCTTTCCATTCCTTTCATCTCACTTCTGAGGATAATTCAAGTATGGTGGGACTGTCCCTTTGGACTGATATTTCCTCTATAAATTGCTTCCCTTCCTTCAAACCCTCTAAGATGGTTGACAATATTCAGAAATGGTGGTGATGAATTCTTGGTTTTAAGCAGGTGGCTCTCTTTTATAAGGTAAGTGTGCAAAAGGAAAAAAAAATATGAAAAAGAGGTTGTTTAAAGAGAGACAAATCTGGGACTTGAAATTGGGAGCTGATTCTTGTGGATTTTAAAAGCCTGCTGCAGGATTTCCTGTCAGGCAATCGAATTACTATTTACAAATAGCATTTGGATGTCTACAATTTGGGGGTTATCTTGTGGAACGCAAGTTCCCTGCAAGATTTATATATACAAAAAAAAAAAAAAACTTGGAGGGTGGAATGATGACAGGAATGTGTTCACCATGCCAACATAAGATCATTGTGGGAAGCCAATCTAACATCTCACCCCCCCCCCTAATCAAGGTATTTGTCACAAGCAAGCTGCTAGGTTTAGCTGGGACTCAATTTTATTTCATATGGAATGTGCCATTTCTATTCTATCAAAAATGGAGTCCCACGTTTGACCTTCTTCCTCGTATTTATGAGCCACTGCAAATAAATCCTGGCTTTTGTCTTAGAAAGTTCTGCTGGACTTTATTAAACCAAATTAAATGTCTCCTAAATAAACCGAGGGTGACCCTAATTCCTGTTCTCTTGTTAGCAAACCGACGTAATTGCCAGGATCTGCCAATATTTCTCATTTAGCTAATTGGTCTTCATTAGGATTGTCAGGGTTATTTAGGGTCTGAATTAACTTGGGGAAAAAATGCACCTTGCTGAGGTTGGGAGAAGATTTAAATGTTACGTGTTGGCAACTTTCTTCAAAGGAAGTATTTCGGGATCGATAAAAATTCGTCTCTGAAAATATTTGAGTCTTAAATTGCCACTTGAGTCTTATTTGCTGTTTTATTATTATTATTATTGTCTGTTACATTCTGCTTCTCTAACTTATTTTGGGCAGGGAGAGTTGGATGCAAGGAAATTGGAAGAGAACAGAAGAGGGCAAAGAGGTACACAGGTTTGCAATAATTTAGAGAAACTAAGGATGAAACGGAAATGCATCAATTTAAAGAGCGATGCTTACTCAGGGCTACAAGTAGTTCCTGGAAGTGGGGGAGGAGGGGGCTACCTATTTTATGTATAAATCTGAAAACTCAGTGGTGGAGAATGTATGTCACTTTGAGGTGGATATAACAATTCTTATTACTGAGCAATCATAGCTGAATCTCTATAACCAGGACCTTCCAGATAAGTAGGACTACAACACCTAGAATGCACAGGCTGAGTTACAGACATTTCATTACCTAACTAGATAACATCATCAGCGCGAGGGAATGTGGGGTTTACTCTGTTTATCTATAGTACTTTGCCCTGTGGTTGCTGGTCAGCACGTAGTTTTCTCCTTGGTACTTCCTTGAACAGGATATTGCTTTCTGCTGAATTGTTTGTCTGGTGTTAATCCCTGCTTATCTGGGTGTGTGCTTTTTCCCATTTCCTTTCCAAGGGGGAAAAATGAAGTCCCACCATACAAAAGAAGCACATTTATTACGTGACCAAGAGACAGGATGTGGATTTTAGCCCCGGCTGCAGTGTTGGACTTATTAAGCAGAGTATCACTGCTGCTGTGGATTGTTTTTTTTATATATATATGAAGATATCACTTTAGCCTTTCTATATATTGTCCTAGTAGCGTTCAAAGAATGCAGCAAAGGTGAAGATGACTTTTTCCTTTGTCCCATATTTTACCCAAAAAATATATATAAATAAATCCCCAATTCTTGGAAAGGAGATAATGTGTGTGTCCCCTGGCCCCCAAACTCTGTATTTCTGGGGGAAAAAATTAATTGGTCCTTGCAGAAGACAAGAATAGACCTTTACCCTTAGCGATCAAGCTAGCTGACGTCTAGTTCTGGGGTAGCAGTGGGGACCCAAACCAAGTGCTTTTTTAAAATAATTTTAAGGAGAAGAAGAAGAAAAAGAAAGAAAGAGAGCTCAAACCAGGATGGAACCATAACGGAAGGGATTGGCTAAGGCAGTGTTCTTCAGCATCAGCAACTTTTAAGATGGGTGGTCCTCAACTCACAGAATTTCCCAGACAGACAGACGGCTGAGGATACCTAAATTCCATCTACAACAGTGTTTCTCAACCTTGACAATTTTAAGGCATGTGGCTGGCTGTGGAATTCTGGGAGTTGAAGTCCACATGCCTTAAAATTGTCAAGGTTGAGAAACACTGATCTACAACCAGCTCTGAAACCGTGCAGAAGGCTCAGATTGGCAAAAAGTGAAAGCGAAAGTACTAAATTGCTTAAGGCTTGCGTGTACAGCTAGGAGATGAATGCTAGTTAGTTCTCCCTCCCTGCCTCTCCCCCTTTATCCCAGATATACGGCCTTTTCCATGGCATCCTCCACCTTCATATATTCCAAAAAGGTAGGGTAGCTAGTACATTCGTAGCGGTTGTTACTCCGAATGTATTTAATGAACTCTGGCGCTCCGGGGTAGATAATGTTGTCGGCTAGAAGGATGGAGCCCTTGCGCAGGAGACCACATTCCTGGAAAGAGGAAAGAAAGAAGGGAAAAAATTGAGACCTCTCTGAACGGGTCCCCAAAGCTTTTTTTCCAAAAGGCAACTGGAATTCGTTTGTTTCCTTGGAAAAAAAAAACCTGAAGAAGCCTCCTGGATGAGAAGCGAAACCTCTTCCAGGAAAAACTAAGGAGTTGAAGCCGCCAAGGTTGAGAAACCTTGAGAATTTTGGATTATCAAATCATCGATTATCTCCTTATCAAGAGCTTCGAAGCAAAACCCAAATCACCTCAAACTCTCCTTGGGCCTCAAGATAACAGTCATGCTCAAGAAGGAGAAAATAGCAAGTTCTCAGAATCCCTAATAAGGTTGCAAAAATGCAAAACCTGTTCCTGGGGGGCGGGGAGAGAAAAATATGTCCAAACCCTTAAGATTTCCAAACATAAAATTAACTTACTTCAAGGAGAATAGTGTCCGGGGTGTATCTCTCCTTCCAATGGTCAAGAAAGACAAAATCCAGCGTTTCCACCTCGTATTTCTTCTTCAGCTGAGGGATAACATCCTGCGAATGGCCTTCAATAATGGTCACCTGCAAGCAGGAGCAATGAACTGATTTGAGCACAAACGGACCCCACAAAGCCCTCCCCAGGGATCCTTTGACTGGGATCTGTCTCACTTTTTCTGTCTTGATATGGTAGGAAATGAAACCTGGATGCTATTCCCACAATGATTCCCAATGCCCAGAGAGCATTCTGGGAAATTAAAATAGCCTAAAGATGAGGACTGCGCTCCTAGAGAGAAAAATACAAAATGAGGAGTCCCTGATGCTTTTTGAGCTTGGCTGCTCTCTTGCAAATGTTTCATTACCAAACTAGGTAACATCATCAGTGCTAGAAGGGAGTGGAGAGGAAGAGGTGGGAAGTAGAGCCATTGGTGTTCTCTAAGCTTAGTGATTTTCTTCCAGATATTTCATGACCCAACTAGGTAGCATCTTCAGTGCTAGGAGGAAATGGGATTTCTCTTCTAACACTGATGATGTTACCTAGTTGGGTCATGAAATGTCTGCAAGAAAACCACCGAGCTCAGAGAACACCAAGGACCCCTCATTTCAACCCTCAGCTACAGATATTCTTCTTTATTGGCAGTGGCTTTCCCTGTAGATTTGTATGTAAACAAAGAGCAAACCCCTCTAACACTGATGATGTTACCTAGTTGGGTCATGAAATGTCTGCAAGAAAACCACCAAGCTCAAAGAACGCCAAGGACCCCTCATTTCAACCCTCAGCTACAGATATTCTTCTTTATTGGTAGTGACTTTCCCTGTAGACTTGTATGTAAACAGAGAGCAAACCCTTCTAACACTGATGATGTTACCTAGTTGGGTCATGAAATGTCTGCAAGAAAACCACCGAGCTCAGAGAACACCAAGGGCCCCTCATTTCAACCCTCAGCTACAAATATTCTCCTTTATAAATACAAAAGGATTTCCAAAGTTGTTGTTGTTTTGCAGCAGAACTGAACGAGAGAATATATTAAGAACATAGCGATAGTTTTATTATGGAGTGTTCCAAATGTTTGCCTTGTGGCTTGTGGTTTATAAGTATTGGGTGCCTCCAGAACGACTGCCGTTTTGGTCCAGTCCCTGCATTTAAATCCGTACTAAATAAACTTGAAAAGCAAGAAGGGGGAAAAAAATTAATTGGGGCCCATTAAACAAATGAAACCCTTCTCTTCTCTCTTGCTGGGAAGAACACGACACAGATATCGTCCAGACCTTATCGCTGAGTCCTGCAATTTCAATGATTTCTTTTGCGATGGCTGCGAACTCGGGGTTGAATTCGATGGTGAGGAGGCGAGCGTTGGGTTTCAAGAGGCGAGCGATCCTGATGGCCGAATAACCACAGTAGGTTCCCATCTCCAGAGCGACAGTCGGCTCAGCTTCCTCAACTGCTTTGTCTAGAATTATCCCTAGGGAGACACAAAAGAAAGGGGGGGGGAAGGTTGGTTTTCATTAAATTAAGCCATTAAGTGTTGGTTGATTCTATGGGAGCCTTTTCACATCCTAAACTGTAGGGAGATTCGTAGCGGAAATGAGATTAGAACAATTAACCAGTGGAACGACTTGCCTCCAGAGGTTGTGAATGCTCCAACACTAGAGGTTTTTAAAAAGAAATTGGGCAACCGTTTGTCTGAAATGGTGTAGGGTTTCCTGCCTGAGCAGGGGGTCGGACTAGAAGACCTCCAAGGTCCCTTCTATTCTATTCTATTCTATTCTATTCTATTCTATTCTGCTCTCTTATTCTATTCTATTCTATTCCCTATTTTATTCTATTCTATTCTACTCTAATTCTATTCTATTCTGCTCTTATTCTATTCCATTCTATTCCATTCCATTCTATTCTATTCTATTCTAATTCCATTCCATTCCATTACTTACAAGGAAAGAACAATTTGCCATTATGATAAATGAGCAAATGGACTTTGCTTTATCTGAAGATTTAAAATGGATCTCAGGATTTGCAACATCTCAACATGTGACATTTCTTTTCCTACTGTAGGGAAGAGCCATGTTCTCAAACTTGGCAACACTGAGATGCGTGGACTTCAACTCCCAAAATCCCTCAGCTAGCATTCATGGACTTCAACTCCCAACATACTGGATGGGAAATTTTGGAAATTGAAGTCCACACGTCTTAAAAGATGCTAAGTTTCATAAACACTGGCCCAGGGTGTCAAAAAATCAGGAGTCTCGTAGTACTTCAATAGCATCCAGACCAGTGTTTCCCAATTTTAGCCATTTTCAGATGTGGGGCGTTCAACTCCCAGAATTCCCAACCAGCATGTCTATCTACAATTCTGCTTGGAGCTAGATCATAAATGGTTGAACTCAAAGAAGCCCAGGTCCAGATCATTCTCAATCTGGAAAATGAAACGGAGATTTCCTCCTATGTCACATTGCTGATTTAATTCTCTGGAAAACACAAACCCCAAGTGTTACCAGTTGTCTTTCCTGCTATTCATATCAGATACAGTTCCCCTGAAAATGTGCAACAGGCTTTACGTTTGCCTCCACAATAATCACAAGCACTGCGAATAAGAGAAAGGTGAATATGAAATCCAGAAAAAGACAGCTGGAAAGCTAATAGAAACTTCAAAATATTCACAACTAACCAGCTAGTCCTTGCCTTACATTTATGGACTGTTCGAAGTTACAACGGCACTAAAACAAAAGGGACTTGTGAGCATTTTTCCACACTTACAACTGCTTCAGCATCCCCATGGCCACATGGGGCTTGGCAACTGACCCATATTTATGACGGTCGCGGTGTCCCAGGGTCACGTGATCCATTTTACGACCTTCTGACAAACCAAGTCAATTTGGTAAGGCAGATTCACTTACCAACCATGTTTCTAACTTAACAACTGCCGTGATAAAAATGGGGCAAAATTCACTTAACAAATGTCTTGCTTAGCAGCAGAAATTTTGGGCTCAGTTGCTGAAAGGGGAAGACTACCTATTTGCTTGCTTTGAGCCGCTTTTCACCTCTCTGTTTCTTTGACCACCAGTCTACATATTTCTGTTTCTCCTTTTAACAAGTCCAAAAGAGAAGGCAGCTTGTTAAATAGAAAGTTAATCTGAAACAGAGGCTCTCGGTTCTTAGCTAGGACATCTTTTTTTTTTTTTAAAAAAAAATCTCTTAAAAGAAGGCAAAATGTTAAGTTACCTTTCTCGTCTCCAACGTTCATGGCCCACTCATACTGGCCACAGTACTTATCGATGCACTTCAACACGCTCTCCGGATCCCCTTTGATGGCGTTGTAGGAGACCGAATTTAAAATCCTCTGCTCTTTGCTCTGATCCATGACGAAGTTGGTGATCGTCTCCAAAACCAGCTCGTTCCAGAAGATTTTGGCGTGGACGTTATGCTTGACCAGCAGAATCGTGGCCACCAGGATCAGAACGGAGCCAACGCCTAACGAAACGAGGATGGTCAAAATCCAATTTTCCAACATCTGGAAAGATGGAGAGAGAGAGAGAGAGAGAGAGAGATGAAAACAGAGAACCTGTTAAGGTGGCGGAGAGATGGAAAAGTGTGCGCTGTAGGGCTTTAAGGCAGAGCCTCCGCAAGACAGGAATGGATTCAGGGAGACCTTAAATCCTCCAACAGCATGCATCCCTTACTTGAAATGTTTTCTGCTTATAATTTGACAGCACCTGTTTGTATGCAAATAATGTACAGGTTTTGCATTATCGCCAGATACTCTAAAAATAGAAACAGTGGACGTTCAGTGACAATGTAATGTACTACAGGGTGAAAAAAATTACTGGAGGGAGATCATTCAGAAGAGAATTTGTCCCCTCGCTAAGCTCAGTGGAGAAGACAGAAAAGGCACTAGTGTGTACGTCTGTCTGTCTGTCGCGCTCTCTCTCTCTGTCTGTCTGTCTAGTTGAAACAGAGAGGCATGTAGCTGTCCATGAATCTCTCTCTCATCTATATATCTCATATCTATCTCTCTATCTCTATCTATCTATCTATCTATCTATCTATCTATCTATCTATCTATCTATCTCTATCTACCTACCTACCTACCTACCTACCTATCTATGTGTGCTCCCAGTCCACTACTTTCCCCATCACTCACCAGTGTCTAGAAGCGCATCAGAATCTCTTCTACAGCAGTTCATAAGTAAGAAACTAAGTAAAAAAGACTAAGAAAGGTGTTCTTTTATCTAGAGTTACACCATGCTTTGAGAATGCTGCAAGAATGAAAATGCTGAGTCAGGTCAGTTAAAGATTAAAATATTGCATGCATCAGGTTGCTCCTGGTACATGTAATTTCTTACTTATCAAGTGGACCGCTATCAAAGAATGACTTTTATACTCAGGCCTTGCCAGCTTTTCTAGACATTTGGTGTCTTGGCAACTTTTTGGTGGGCTGCAAGCATGTGAATTAAACCCCCAAAGAAGAAGAAAAAAAGCAGGAAAAGGCTAGCAAAACACCAGAACATGCATTTAGTTCTTGAGATAGCTGCAGTTTTGCAAATCTTTGTGGGCCGGTTGTTTGCCCAAATTTCTACCCCCAAATTCTTAAAATCTAAACTAATCACATTTTAAAAGCAAGGTTGCAGACAGAAGGAAATCCTGTACGGTGGAAATTGAGTATATTTCTGGTCCTCTTGGTTGCTTGGTGTAAGATAATGCCTGACTAGATGCAGGGTGGAGAAAGATTCAGCCAGCACAGTTCTACCCCTTCTCATTAAAATTCATGCTATTATGCAGAGCACTTTTTTAATTCAGAATATAATTAAAGTTGCTATGGAGACATGGCCTTGCAACACAGTGGGCAATTGTTCACCCATCTCTTTATTCAGGTCCTTCCGTGGATGTGGAGTTTCCCAAACCACATTGCAAAAGCAGCAAGGACCATGTCCTCCAAGTTGCCTTCATTTCTGGTTTCCATCCGTTGCTTCTTATCCTGCCTTCAGGCACCTTGGAAAATAGCTTGACTCCCTCTTCTTGGGGGCAGCCCCTGAGATGTTGGAAGACTGCTATCGTGTCCCCCCTCGTCCTTCTCTTAGTTAAATTAGACAGACCCAATTCCAGCAACCGTTCCTTATATGTTTCAGCCTCCAGTCCCCTGATCATCTTTGTTGCTCTTCTCTGCACTCTTTCTAGAGTCTCAACATCTTTTTTTACATCATGGTGACCAAAACTGGATGCAGTATTCCAAGTGTGGCCTTACCAAGGCCTTTTAAAATGGTATTAAAGGGGATCACGTGAACCCGGGACATTGCAACTGTCGTAACTAGGAGTTAGTTGCTAAGCGTCTGAATTTTGACCCTGTGACTATGAGGATACCGCGATGGCTGTCAGTGTGAAAAATGGTCGTAAGTCCCTTTTTTCAGCGCCGCAACTTCGGTCACTATACAAACAGGTGTAAGTAGTCCAAGGATTGTGTGTATTTGTTTGTTCCTATGACTTAGCTCTGCCTGGTTTTGGAGTCTCCCACTCGGAGTTTCTAAGCCTCTCTTTCTCTTCTCTGGCCTGATCTCCTTCCCTTGTGTACCTGCCCCGCTGTTTTCCCCTAACCAAGATTACTCTGTTGTTGTTTTTGGTTGAAGCTCTCGCAGCTGCTGCTGGCATCACGGTGGGAGAGAGGATCTGCCTTCTCCCCTGGGAAGGCAGAGCTGGGTGCCCGAGTCTGCACCGGGGCTACGTGCCGAGAGGGGCTTTGCTTACAATGAAGCAGGCTTTATGCAAACAATGAAAGACTGCTGAAGTTGTCAAAGAGAGAGAGAGAGAGAGAGAGAGAGAGAGAAATGCTTTGGGGTCCAGAGAGTTTCGTATGAGCAAGGTAGTAAAAGGACGTTCAGAAGATACAGGAAAAGCAGGAGGAGGAGAAAGGAGAAGAGGAAGAGGAGGAGGAGGAGGACGAGGAGGAGGAGGAGGAGAAGAGGGAGAAGGAGAAGAGGTGGAGGAAGGAGAAAGGAGATGAGAAGGAGGAGGACGACGACAAGAAGAAGAAGAAGAAAAAGAAGAAGAAGAAGAAGAAGAAGAAGAAGAAGAAGAAGAAGAAGAAGAAGAAGAAGAAGAAGAAGAAGAAGAAGAAGAAGAAGAAGAGGAGGAGGAGGGGAGGAGGAGGGAGAGGAGGAGAAAAAGAAGAAGGAGGAGGAGGAGGAGAGGAGGAGGAGAAGGAGAAGAAGAGGAGGAGGAGAAGGAGAAGAAGAGGAGGAGAAGAAGAAGAAGAAGAAATTAATATACCTTCTTAAGATATTAAGTAAGCTTTGCCCCATTTTACGACCACTCTTGCTACAAGTTGTTAAGTGAATCCTTGCAGCTGTTCAGTTCGGAACATAAGTGAACCTGGCTTCCCCATTGGCTTTGCAGGTCAGAAAGTCGTCAAAGGGGACCCTGCAACCGTCATAACTATGAGTCAGCTGCTATGCCTCTGGATTTTGATCACGTGACTGTGGGGACGCTTCAACGGTCATGTGAAAAACAGTGATAAGTTACCTTTTCCAGTGCCATTATAACTTCTAATGGTCACTAAATGAACTGCTGTAAGCCGAGGACTACCTGTAGTCATGGAACAGAACATGAGGACTAGACCCTTGATGTCACTCAAACTATTATTGCTCGCCGTTAGACAAACTCTACAACCAAGCGCAATCTTGATTCACAAGGATTTGTTTTTCTCCCTTTTGGAAAAGAAACAACTATGCAAGAAAAAAAAAAGAGGAAAGCAGCTAAACTTATGAAATACGATTTCTGACTTTTTCTTTCACAGATAATTGCAATCTTACACAGTCTTCTGCCCTTCCCTGAATCCACCTCTTTTTAAATCTTCCAATTGATCAATCATCGTATCTCTTTTTTCTTCTTCTTCTTCTTCCAGCAAAAAGTCCATATAAGGTTTCCAGCCTTTTGGAAAAGTTTTTGTTTGTTTTGTTTTTCTCTGACTAAACAGATTGGCTCTGCTAATCTCAGCAAATTCTGACATCCTACTACACAAAGTTCACAACGGGGACTTCTAGGGTGTGGACTTGGTTCGTTAATTTTTAATTCTTGCAATCTTTGCAAAATTTAAAAGCAAACAAACTCGACACCCGATCCTGTCTTTGCGTCAGTGTTTTTATTTCCTTTGTAATCAGAATTCAACTAGAAGATTAGGGAAGTAAAACTGAGAGGCCTATTCAGAAGGCAGTTTCCCTGCATCTGTTGAGACTTCTTCCCAAATAAGAACGTATTGGATTGTTTCCTTCATGTCTCCTTTTTCCTGGTCTGCAGTTTTTAGAGTGAAAAAAAACGTGCATCTACGCTTCATTTCAAGATATGGAGAAACCTGCTCATAATTTCTGGAAAATCAGAGGAAAATGGCTTATGTTTTCCCTGGGTCAGACAAGGTTAAGATTCAAGTGGATTTCCGAGGTTCTTTTTATCCTCCAGTTTCTTGCAAATATTCTAAATATTAATGGAGCCATAAAAAGCCCCATTAACTTTGCTTAGGCTTCACTATTCTGGTGAGCAGATTAATTTACCTGCAAATAAGGTTGCTTGTTTTCCTTCCTTTCTTCCTCCCTCCCTCCCTCTTTTTCCCTTCCTGCAACTAACCCTTCCTGTCTTTTCTGTTCTTTTAAGCAAATCCATCCATCCTTCCTTCCTTCCTCCCTCCCTCCCTCCCTCCCTCCCTCCCTCTCTCCCTCCATCTTTCTCTCTTCCTGCAAATAACTCTTCCTGTCTTTCCTGTTCTTTTAAGCAATTCCTTTCTTCCATCCTTCCTTCCTCCCTCCCTCCTTCTCTCCCTCCCTTTGTTCAAATCACCCTTCCTGTCTTCTTTCCTGTTCTTTTAAGCAAATCCTTCTTTCCTTCCTTCCCTCCCTTCCCCACCCCCCAAAAAAAGAATCAGAAGGCTAATGTGCAATTTATGTAACTAGCAACTTTTAAACAAACAAACAGGCTAAACCCACAGAAAGTTATTTCCAGAGTGGGAACTCCAGAAAGGTGGACCTCTAGGACAGGGAATTTGAGAACTTCAAAGCATTCCAGGACCAGAATGCTTTTTAGCCATGCCAAGGAGCCTTTGGAAAAAGACTGAGGCCACGCCATTCAACTGGTGTCTTAAGGAGAGCTGAGGTTCCTGCCTTGTCTCTTTCAAAAGGAGAAAAAGAGAGGGACACACACAGAGAGAGAGAGAGAGAGAGAGAGAGAGAGAGAGAGAGAGAGAGAGAGAGAGACAGAGAGAGAGAAGGGTTTCCCCCCTTCCCCACAAAGGATGGAGTCCCAACATTGACCCCAATCAAGTCTTTTTAAAGTCTCCATCCACATCTAACCAACTCCACATGTTCCATTCCATTCTTTCTTGGGCAAAAAAAGAAACGCCTCCCGTTTCTACGCACCACCGGAATGCAGCTCTGGAGAGGAGGAGAAGACCACAGAGTCCTCAACTTGAGATTTTTGTGGCATTTCTGCCTCTAAACACACACACACACACACACCCATTCCCTTTCTCAGATTGGCTATTCTGAAATCTACCCCCCTCTTTAGTTCCTCAAGTTCTCTCTCTCTTTCTCTCTGCGGGCGATAAACAGGGCAGGAAGAAGACACAAAGGCTCGCTTTCTCTTCTTCTTCTCCTCCTCCTCCAATCCCTCAGCCATCAGGAACAGACAGGGGGTGTCTCTCTTGCATGCACACACAACTGCAATAAAGACACACACACACCACACCCCACTCCCCAGAGCTGCAGAAGAAAGGGGGGGAGAAATGGGTACCTTTTCAGAGAGGATGGATGGCAAGGTGAATCCTTCCTGGTTGAGTCAGCGAGGAGCGGATTTGCCTTTGGTTACGATGGATCACATCCCTGGGAGGCGGGTGGGTGGGTGGGTTCAGGGAGGGGTCCAAGCTTTGCCCCTTCCTCCTCCTCCTCCTCCTCCTCTCCCTCCTCCTGCGCTCCCGTCCTCCCCGCCTCGGCTTGGCACCACAGCCGGTTTCTTAGGGTGACCTTCAGCGGCACCACCCGCTCAGCTAGCTGCATTCTCTTCTGACAGAGAGCTGGTTCCTTGGTTACGGTGCTCGGTCAGGTGTGCTTTAACTACAGCTCTGGGCTGACTCAAACTACAGGTCTGGAGCCCTCGAAGCAGCTCTGAGGTTGATTTATTTATTGTTTTTTTTTTAAGTATTATTGTTATTATCCCGAATCTTATTGCAGGCTAGCTAACTCAAGGGGGCGAACATACCTAATGGCAATAGCACCTGGACCAGTGGTTCTCAACCTTTTTAATGCCGCGACCCCCCAACCGGTCGTAAGTCGAGGACTACTCAACCGGTCGTAAGTCGAGGACTGCTCAACTGGTGCAGCACCATTTGCGGAATGGGACTTTTGGCGGGCTCAGCAGGGCAGAGACAGCCTGGACAATGCCTATTGGCTTTTGAAAGCCCATAGAATTAGACTCTATTCAAGAGAGTCTATTCTATGGGCTTTCAAAAGCCAATAGAATAAAAGGGAGTAGCACAGCTAAGGAAAAGGAGGAAAAAAAATGGCGGACTGCGTTGTTTGGCGACCCCCGTGAAATGGTTGTCCTGACCCACAGGTTGAGAACCACTGGACTAGTCTCTTCTCAAAAGCCTCCAGTGATGGAGCACCCACAATTTCTGGTGGCAAGCTGTTCCACTGGTTTATTGTCCTTACTGTTAGGAAGTTTCTCCTTAATTCCAGGTTGCTTCTCGCCTTGATTAGAATAGAATAGAGCTGGAAGGGACCTTGGAGGTCTTCTAGTCCAGCCCCCTGCTCAAGCAGGAGAACCTACAGGAGACAAGGGATTGTCCTGTCTCTTCTTGAAAATCTTCAATAATGGAGCTCCCACGATTTCTGGAGGCAGACTGTTCCACTGGTTGATTGTCCTCACTGTCTGGAAGTTTCTCCTTAATTCCAGCTTGCTTCTCTCTTTGATCAGTTTCCAACCATTGTTTCTCGTCTTGCCCTCTAGGTGCTACACTTTCCTCCTCTTCCTCCTATTTCCCCCACAACAGCCCTGAGAGGTTGAGTTGGGCTGAGAGAGTCCAACATCACCCAGTTGGCCTTCATGCCTAAAGCAGGACTAGAACTCACGTCTCCTGGTGACTGGCCCCAAATCACTAGCTGGCTTTTGTGCCTAAGGCAGAACTAGAACTCACCATCTCCTGGTGATTGGCCCAAAGTCACCCAGGCAGCTTTCATACCTAAGGTGAAACTGGAACTTACCATCTCCTGATGTCTAGCCTGGTGCCTTAATCACTAGCCCAAACTGGCTCTGATTGATTGATTGATTGATTGATTGATTAGACTACTCTCTGTTCAATCAATCTAAATGGACTTCTAGTCCTATTGCCCATGGTCCAGCAGATTGTGGAATTCTGGGGTCTGAAGTCCACACACCTGGAAATAGGTATGCAATACTTTTCTAATTTTCAATGCACAGTCATAGGGACTAGAACCTTGCCTAATTCACAAAGGCAGCATGAAACTGGAGGGTCTGAATGCCAAGCTGTATACCACATTACACCTCCGTAGCTCAGGAACACCCTGGTATACACACACAAAGAAACACCCGCACAATTAAGATCTCTGAATTTTCCCAAAGCTGCTGGATTTCTTGAGAAAAAATGCTACGGGCTGTTTTTATGGTCACCCATTCTCTCACAATCCCTGCTATTGTTCTAAGAGGCAGGACTAGTTCTGCAGAAAGGAAAATTATAGACAATCTCTCCTGGATGCAACAGGATTAACTGGGCTGTGCAGCAAAATAAGGATTTTGAAAGACTTTGAAGGCAAGGAGAAAGTGCCCGGGATTAGCTAACCCCCAACGGCATACCAGAGTTTTGTGTCATACATTTTTGACAGATTGCATGCTTCAGGCATCATCAAAGGGATTCTGTTTCCCACACGAAGTACCTCCCCAACAAGTCCTTTGCCAAGATGGCGCCCTTCCTTTGGAATGGCTTACCTGCAGAAACCCAAATTTCCTTGCTACATTCCCGGAGAACTCTCCAAAACTAAGGAAGGCGCGTTATCACTCAAGAGAGTGATATTAGTGTGTTCGCACTATCACAAATGAGCTGCAAAGCCACCAAGCCAACACTAGAGGGCAACGAGCACAGACAGAAAACTGGACCTTGTGCTGCCATCTAGAGATCAGCCAAATTTTTGCAGCTCGTTATTTTTGTGTGTGTCTCCCTAAAAATCCCACAGGGAGCCGTGTTCCAGATAAACCAAGTCTTTCTCCACTCTGCCTGATTTCTTAGGATCAATTCCCCCCCCCAAAAAAAAGAACAAAGGATCTATTCTGAGTACACGATTATCTCTTCCCTGGGGAGATTATTGATGCGCTTGCCATCTGCCCAACGTCTAATTATGGCTCCTCTGGAGAGTTTTAAATGCTGAGGTGCCAAAAACCTCCACAATTTTTTCAGTAAACAGGGATCATGCGGTAGTTTGCCTTTGCTAAGCTGGCTTGAGGGCGAATCAGACAAAAGAAAGGATCTCAGGCGGCAAACATCAGGCGTTTCAGAAGATTTCAATAGTTCCAACAGAGCAACAAAGATGATTAGGGGACTGGAGGCTAAAACATACAAGGAACGGCTGCTGGAATTGGGTACGTCTAGTTTAATGAAGAGAAGGATGAGGCGGGACATGATAGCAGTGCTCCAATATCTCAGGGGCTGCCACAAAGAAGAGGGAATTAAGCTATTCTCCAAAGCACCAGAAGGCAGGACAAGAAGCAACGATGGAAACTAATCAAGGAGAGAAGCAATCTAGAACTAAGGAGAAACTTCCTGATAGTTAGAACAATTAACCAGTGGAACAGCCTGCCTCCAGAAGTGGTGAATGCTCCAACACTGGAAGTTTTTAAGAAGAGCCTGGACAGCCACTTGTCTGAAATGGTATAGGGTTTCCTGCCCGAGCAGGAAGGACTAGATGATCTCCAAGGTCCCTTCCATCATCATCATTATCATCATTATCATCTACAATTGAAACATAGGAAGGGACCATGGAGGTCTCTAGACAGTCACTTGTTTGAGATGGTATAGGGTCTCCTGCTTGAGCAGGGGGCTGGACTAGAAGACCTCCAAGGTCCATTCTAGCTCTATTTCTATTCTATTCCTATTCCATTCTATTCTATTCTACTCTATTCTATCTGTTGTTCTATTCTTTCTGTTATTCTATTCTACTCCTATTCTATTCTAGTCTTGTCTAGTCTGTTCTATTTAATATTCTATTTAATATTCTATTCTATTCTATTCTATTCTATTCTATCTGTTTTCTATTCTCTTCTTTCTGTTATTCTATTCTACTCCTATTCTAGTCTTGTCTAGTCTGTTCTATTCTATTTAATATTCTATTCTATTCTATTCTAGCCAGTAGATGCCAGGGTGTATTTGCTTGTCTACCGTGGGTGGCAAATTATATGGCCTGGCCTTCCTGTATCAGGTGAGTGAGTTTAGTTCTCTTTGGACAAGGAAAACTGACATTCATGTGCCCAGATTAAGGTTCACATTATCTTTGCTCTTTATCCAGTTTGCCTTCCTTGCAAAAGGGCAATCCTGATAACCTACTATGGCAAAGTTGCAGAAACAAATCGCAGAAAAACAGCTTGCCTGTACAGGCAGACCTTGACATAGGACCCCAATTCAGCCCAACGTTTCTGTTTCTACGGGACACCATTGTTAGGTGAGTTTTGCTCCATTTTACAAACTTCCTTGCCGCCGTTAAGTGAATCACTGCAGTTGTTAAGTTGTTAAATTAGCAGCTCGGTCGTTAAGCGAATCTTGCTTCCCTGTAGACTTTGTCAGATGGTCGCAAAAGGGGATCACGTCATTCCTGGACACTGCGGCCGTCATAAATGTGAGTCATCTGTCAAGCATCCAAATGTAAATCACGTGACCACGGGGAGGCTGCAATGGCCATAAGTGTGAAAAAGGATCATAAGTCACTTTTTCCAATGCCATTGTTACTTCAAACGGTCACTAAACAAATCCAGGACTAACTGTATTCAGGAGTGAATTACTTTCCCAACCGCTGTCAGCTCTTCTTCCCAAGGCTTCCGTTCAGTTCAGCCAAATATTTTTATTCTGATACTCAGAGGCTCCAGGCACACCACAAAATATTGTCTCTTTTGCTTTCTGAATGCCGTTTCAACATTATTCCTAGTACGGTTATTAGCCAGGCCCCAGACTTCCGATTTTAAAATATTTCTCAAGCAAACAGGCATGCAAAGCAAAACACAATATTTAAAAACAACATACTGTTACAGTCTCTTATAACAATACCGTAACAACGTTTTTGAATGATACTTCGTCTTCCTTTTAGCTTGCTACATTTTCCCCCCCCCCTCTTTTGGGGTTGGGACACTCGTCAAGCAAACATTGAAGAAATACAGTAAACATTTGGGGAAAAAAATAGCCTCTTTCCCCACCTATATTTACAGCAAGGAAAATACACATCTGTCAAATCTCCTTTATATTTAATCCGCCGGCCTTCAACAGATCCCTTTTTCTGTGACACGGGCAGCAATCAATAAGAGAAAATCCATACTTGCAGGGATATCTTATTTTTAGCTTTCAGGAGATGAATCCCTATTTAATTAAAAAAAAAGCAGCCCAGTTAAATATTTTACATAAATCCCAAACCACAAAGTTGGGAGGTGACGCGTCATCGGCAGAATGCAATTTTAAAAATATCGATTAAGCCACGCAAGTTTTAAAAATATCAATTATTTGCAGCGTGATCTGTATTTGATTTCTCCCTAGCCGGTGCATTCATGCCAAAATGTCTACGGAAAAAGCACTTTCTGGACATTCATGCCAAGGAGAACTGCACCAGTTGGATGCCCGCCGTGCAGGAAGAAAAAAAAGCTGCAATTTCCCCCCCCCCCCGTCTATTTCGGATGAATGCATTAGAATTTTTGGACGGAGGGTCAAACGTCTTTAAAAACAGCCCGCAACGTCCAAAATTAAAACAACAGAAAAAGAATGCAATGCAAGAATCCTATCAGATCAGCATGAATCAGGATCTAGTACCCCTAAGGCTAAGATTTTGACTATAGCGGACATGCATATAGGAAATATAATACATATTAATACTGTACCCAAGTTAATGAGATGCGTAGAGTAAATGCCACGCCCCCGCAAAACTCCTCCTCCTCCCCTCCCTCCCCTCGCAGGTTGAAATAAGCAGCTCCCTGGTGTTGGTGCCCACTCAAGTGCCTGTCTCTCACCTCGCCCTGCCTCGTCCGGGAGCGCTGCTTTTTCAGCCGTAAGGAGGAGAGGCAGAGCTCTCGTTCTTGACCAGCTTCGTCTTATCTGTTTTCCGGGAAAGGAAAAGACAACCATCTCGCAGGCGCCAGGAGGAGCTATCAGGCATCATTTTAGACACCTTTCCAAAGCACGGCGTGCCCTTCAGGGGCCCTGAGGCGAAGCCAAGCTGCCGTACAACATGGCGGCGCTCCGGCGAGGGCGCTTCCGGGTTGAGCCCTGGCTCCGCGGTGCGGCGCGGGCTCTTTCAGCAGGTGGGGGGGGGGTCCCCCCTCCAAAGCAAAATTGGGGTGGGGGTGCTTCGAGGTGGGCTAGGGAGGGGGACGAGGCTTTGGGAGGGGGAGAGGGATTCTGCATTGCCAGGAGGGCTAGCAGAAAGCGCCTGGGCTTGCACAGGCAAACGTTCCACAGGTCGAGCTTTGCCTGGGGTGGCTGCGCCTGTTGCATTTCTGCCCGCTGCAGCCTCTTTCCACTCTGGCAAAAAGTTGGGGCGCAGAAGGGAGAAAGAACGCAGTCTGCTCTGATGGACATTTGCTCCCCACCCCGCTTTGCAAAGGAGCCCATGAAATGGAAGTGGGTGGATTCTTGGGGTGCAATTGGCACACGGGGGCGCGGGACCAAGTCAGCACGCCTGGCTGTGGGAGATGGGCATTGCAATCCCCGGCCCCAGCTGCAGAAAGCATGCTCAGCCCTGTTCTGTTCCTCCTCCTTTGGCAGGAACTGTTAGAGGCTTTTGGTTATGGCACGGTGGCCTCAAGGAAGCTAGTACTTATTTTTATGCATTTGTGCATCCAATTTGTTCACCATCCATCTCACTAAGTGACTCTGAGCAGATTTCAAGTACAAACCATAAGATGGTACAGAAATAGGTCTTTTTGTTTCCTTTTTCCTTCATACCTTTCCAACGGTATGTAGACGTTATTTATCTCTATGCGACTGTTGATGGCTGATTTGTCTGAGTGCCCCGAATTCTCTGGTGGTTTTGGACTTGGCTTGATCTAGATTTCTCACACCAAGATTAATACTGGATTAACCATCAAGAATCCAGAGTCCCCTCACTGCAAGATGGGCAGCAAACCAATTTAATAAATAAATATAAATAAACAAACTACCAATGCAGACAAAGATGCTAATTGTAAACAGTTGGTGGCTTGAGAGTGCTGTCTCCATCTTTTTAACTTGGCCTATTTCTGTACCATCTTATAGTTTGTACTTGAAATCTGCTCAGAGTCACTTAGATAGTGAGATGGATGGTGTACAAATTGGATGCACAAATGCATAAAATAAGTACTAGCTTCCTTGCCACCGTGCCATAACCAAAATAACAGTTCCTGCCAAATTGCCATGATGTTAATGTTACAGAAGAAGAGAAATGAGTCCATTAATGGCTGTTGCTAATAATAATTACTGAAACTGAGAAATATTTATTTCAAGCATGTTCTGCTGTTCACTCTCTCAGCTTTTCAGGAGTTTTAGCGGTTCGGTCCCCCTGTTTCTTTAACTCAACCTTGCCCACCCAGACAGCTACAAAGCCAGTCTAGAGATTCCTAACTGGATCCACACAGCTAGTGCACAAGGCCGAAGTTAATTGTGGGCAGGATCTATTTCCAGCAAGATATGCTTCTAAGCTATAGGTCAACCCTTCTGGCCTTAAATCATGTTTCCTATCAACTGATTAACCTGGGATCTGGAATACTGAAGCTTTAGCAAGATCCCTTACCTCTTCCTCCACTGGTTGAAGAATGTAGTCAACAAAGACAGATTTTTAACTCTCAGCAGGACACGTCAGGGCTCCGACAGACCCCAAATCTTCCCTTGTTGATTCTTGTAGGACGTTTTCAGTTTGTTGAGCAAGTCAGGCAGTTGTCCAGAGATAACATGAGGGTGTCAAATGGGAAGAACTGGATGGTCTCCAGTCTCAAGTCCAGAATGCAGGCAGTGCAGAGGCCTGGTTTTAATTAACAGTGAAGGTTATAGCTAGGAAACCAGAGTGGGTGCCTCATATTTATAAATACTTGTTGATCTTTTGGATGGTTCTCCATGTTGGCAGATGTGCAGACCACAAGCGCAGCTTCTCAGTTTCTTAAAGGGCATGCTACAGAAATAAGTACAGATAATCCTTGACGTAACGGCCGCAATTGAGCCCAACAGTTCTGTTACTAAGCGAGACATTTGTGAAGTGGTCCCTTTCCGTAGCTTGCCCTGGGGGGGGGGGGGGAACTGAGAAACCTGAAATGGACAAAAGCACCAGGAAAAACTTTCCCAGCCAGCAAAGTCAATGGGGGAAGCCAAGATTTCCTTAACAAACTCAAGTTTCACTTAACAACTCCTACACACTTCAAAGCAATTCACCATATTTTGTCTTGCTTATATTTGAAGGGCAGATGTTGAATAATATCTACTGCTGTTTTAAAATGTTTTCTTTCTTTTTTTTCTTTCTTTTTTTACACAGGGAAGAAGAATGAGTATGACCTTGTTGTTATCGGAGGGGGCTCTGGCGGATTGGCTTGTGCTAAAGAAGGTACACTGGCTGAGGAATTCTGGGAGTCAAAGTCCACAAGTCATAAAAGGGCCAAGTGTGAAGACCCGGGTCTAAAACAAAAAGGAACTCTTTTTGTTATTTTTCTGTCCACAATTCTCCAAGAATAGTTATATTTGTTACTAACCACTAGAGGCACTATGGGACCAATTTTATTCTTTTATTGTATTGGGACTCGAGGTCAAAAGTGGTCCTATAGTGCCCCTTAGTGGCCCCTACCAAATTTATCAACTTGCAAGAAAAAGTTGGAACCCCCCCCCCCCGTCTCCACCAGAGAAAGTTTGGGACAACTAATATAAGACCTTTATCTAAATAAAGCTTCAATTGTTTTCGGACCAGTTTGTAGAGCATCACTATTACTGTATTCTTTTCTTCAAACACATCTGTAACTTTTATTTCTCTTTGTTTAAGCTGCCCACTTTGGAAAGAAGGTAGCTGTCCTAGATTATGTGGAGCCTTCTCCAAGAGGTGAGTCACAATCTGAGCGAATTGCATAATTCTCTTCTTGTTGTGATCTTGAATGTCTTAAGGCTGGCTGGGGATTTCTGGGAGTTGACGTCCACAAATCTTAAAGTTACCCATGGTTGGATGCCCCTGATTTTAAGTGATCCTCAACTTACGATCACAATTCTGTTGCTAAGTGAGAAATTAAAGTTGAGTTTTGCTCCATTTTAACACTCCTCCTGCCCCATTTGTTCAGCGAATCACTGCGGGTTGCTAAATTAGTAACGGCTCCTTCTCGGAGTTCATAAATGCAACAGATGGCATTGTTGGATCTAACGGGACATGAGAACAAGTCGTTCAGGACTTGAGGACAAGCTCCACCCATGAACGAGCATGTGGCTTTTCCCCTTCTCCAGGAACCAAATGGGGGCTTGGTGGGACATGTGTGAATGTGGGTTGCATTCCGAAGAAGTTGATGCATCAAGCGGCTCTCCTGGGACATTCAATCCGAGATGCCCAACATTATGGCTGGAACGTACCCCACCGTATCAGCCACGACTGGTAAGGCAACTCTCCTGCCTGTTTTTTGCAACTTACCTGTGCATAAACCCTTCAAAAGATCCTAGAAGAACTGGGAAGATTTGTTTCAGAAGAGAAAGGCTGTAGGACATTGTCTTTTCCTGAATTGGTCTATGGATTCATCCACTCTAGGCTATGTGTTTGCCTAGAAGGGAAGAGGATTTTTTTGGCCCCAAATAATTTCACTTTCAAATACGAAGATTTTAGATTTATTGAGAGTATGCTAAGCCAGGACATTTTTTTCCCCTATTATTATCTTTGGGTTAGGACAGGGGTCTTCAAACGTGGCCCTTTTATGGCTTGTGGACTTCAACTCCCAGAATTCCTCAGCCAGGCACGCATGCCTGGCTGAGGAATTCTGGGAGTTGAAGTCCACAAGTCATAAAAGGGCCAAGTTTGAAGGCCCCCTGGGTTAGGAGGGTTTAACCATTTGGATTTTTAAAAAGTCCATCTTTTCTGTGTTCCTCTTTGTGTTTTGTAGGCTTTGACTGTCCTGAAAAATTCTAATTTAAAACAAAACAAAACACGGCTACTTGTACTTATATTTTCCACTAACGCCCGTCAATTCCTGTCCCTTAAATCCTATAAATCCATTCAGCCTTGTAATTCCTCTCTCTCTCTTTTTGCCTGCCAGGTCTGTGATGGCCAAGGGGGTTCAGAACTACGTCAAATCCTTGAACTGGGGACACAGGTTACAGTTACAAGATAAGTAAGTGCCTCTTTTTTTTCCCCTGTGCCTCCAAACACTTTGATTCAATTTTTGAAAATTCAGTGTAAAGATGTGTAAAGAGTTCAAGGGAACGTTGCGTTCTCACTAGCGAGAAGATGAGCTTCCTCTCAGTTGTATCTTGCTTCAGGATCCCTGGCTTCTGAGGGTAGTTTTGCACCTCCAAGTCCCCCTTGTTTTGTTATTTATTATTATGCGTCTTATTTTCCCATGATTTACTTGTACTTTTATTTCTATTTCGTATTGATTTGCTTCATTTAAAAATCATTTAGCGATTTATTTTACTTCTCGTCATTTCCTAAGGATAGTAGAGGATAGTACAGGAAGCAAAAATGGCACCAGTGGGGATAGGTGCCTTGGGTGCAATCCCAAAACATCTGGAGCACCACTTGAATAGCATCGGCATTGATACAATCCCCATCGGTCAATGGCCAAGGGCAGCTTAACTCGGAACAGCTTACATCCTGGGGGGAATATTTTAATATAATTAAAACAACAGCAGCAACATCTTCCTATGCCAGGTCCTTAATTAAATGCTTAATTGAGAGTGAAACTGGCTTGCAAAGGTGTCTGATACAGGAGCTGAGTGGACCTCTAGCTATTATTACTACCGCTCTTACTGCATTTATCTTCTTCTCGTTTTCCTCCTCCATCTCCTCTTTCTTTGCCTCTATCTCCTTCTCCTCTTCCACCTCTATCTCTTCCTCCTCCTTCTCCACCTTCCTCTTATTCCTCCTCCTCCTCCTCTGTCCCTTCTTACATCTTCCCCTCCTTCTCCTCCAATCTTCTATTCCTTCTTCTCCATCTCATCTATCCCTTCTTCTTTCCCTCTCTTCCTCCCTCTTCTCCTATTCTTCCTCTTTCTCTATCCCTTCTTCCATCTCCTCCTCCTCCTCCTTCTCAACTCTTCTCCTATTCCTCCTTCTCCATCTCATCTATCCCTTCTTCTTTCTGTGTCCTCCTCCCTCTCCTCCTATTCTTCATCCTTCTCTATCCCTTCTTCCATCTTCTCCTCCTCCTCCTCAACTCTTCTCCTATTCTTCATCCTTCTCTGTCCCTTCTTCCATTTCCTCCTCCCCCTTCTCTTCCTCCTCCTTCTCGACTCTTCTCCTATCCCTCCTTCTCCATCTCATCTATCCCTTCTTCCACCTTCTTTTCCTCCTCCTCCTGCTCCACCCTCTTCTCTTATTCTTCCTCCTCTTCCTCCATTTTCCTTTATCTCTTCTTTCATCTCCTCCTCCTCCTCTCCTCCAGAAAGGTCAAATACTTCAATCTGAAAGGCAGCTTTGCGGATGCACACACTATCCGTGGGGTAGGAAAAAAAAATGAGGTAAGAAAGCTCTAACCCAAACCTGTAAAACACAAGGCCCGAGGGGGCGGATGCGGCCCGCGAAGTGGTTTCATGTGGCCCGTGAAGCCATCCTGGAAACAGTGAGGGAACAGCCCCCTCTGCCTTGGCCCTGGCCCAGCCCAGCCGGGAGCCAACGTACAATTTTGTGCTGGCCATCTTGGCACTTGCCCCGGTCCCACCCCCTTCTGCCGGAGACCCTCAGATCTGTCCCACTCCTGCCCAGGCCCCCCACAGGCACCCATGACGCGAATGATGTAGAACTGGCCATGCCCACCCAGTAGGCCACACCCACTCCATCCACGCCCACCCAGTAGGCTGCACCCACTCTGGCCACCCCACACACACACCCCAGGGCAACCGCAATGCTGATGCGGCCCTCAATGAAATTGAGTTTGACACCCCTGCTCTAACCTCTACCCCAATCCCATGAAGCTGTCCTTCGGTGTTTTAACATGTCATTTGAATCCGGGCAGGAACATCCACGAGGCTTTTGTTCAGAAGTCAAATGATGTTCAAAAGTTAACCACTCTCCCTTTGGGATGGGTGCCCAGTGCCTGTTCTGTTCCAAACAGGAGATTTGCTTTATTCCTGCTTGACGCAGATAGATGAACTCCAAAGAGGGATTAATATTCAGATTATTTATTCTTCAGGAATCTCTAAACAATAACTCACAGTTAATGAAGTGTTCTTCTGAGGCACGTTTCCTAATCTGAATGTTAATCCGTCTTTGGAGTTCATCTGTCTGTGTCAAGCAGGAATAAAGCAAATCTCCTGTTTGGAACAGAACAGTAAAAAATTAAAGGTAAATTCGCCCCATGTTTGTATGGAGCAAAGGACCTCGTGGCTGTACTACACAAAACCTTTTCATACTGGCATGTAGCCAGGAAATCCTGTCATAAACATGGAAGTCCCTCCCAATGACCACTTAGAACACAGATATAACCATGTAAACCAACTAAAACTACATTTCCCAGAAGTCCATCTCTTCAGGAGACGGTTTTTTAACCCTTAAAATGCTATTTATATATGCTCTGGCCAGATGGTTACATACTGGTCCAGCACAGTGCCCATGCAAAGGGCAGGGCGTAATTCGCATAACTGCAGGTGCCATTTTCACTGTTTTGACAGACTTCCCCCTCCGATGCCATTGAACCAGGTTGCTGGGGTGTGTTAACCCTGGTTTCTGGATGAATCCAGGCCCTGCAATTTATCTGGAATAAAAATCCCTTTTACTCTATTAATACGAATCAGATTATTGACCTATAATTACAATGATATTATATTTTGGGAGATAACCACGTTCTCCCAGCATGGCATGAAGACCCAGGATGGTCTAGAGCAGTGGTTCTCAACCTGTGGGTCGGGACCCCATTTGGGGTCGAACGACCATTTCACGGGGGTCACCAAACAACGCAGTCCGCCATTTTTTCCCCCCTTTTCCTTAGCTGTGCTACTCCCTTTTATTCTATTGGCTTTTGAAAGCCAATAGAATAGACTCTCTTGAATAGAGTCTAAGTCTATTGGCTTTCAAAAGCCAATAGGAATTGTCCAGGCTGTCTCTGCCCTGCTGAGCCTGCCAAAAGTCCCATTCTGCAAACGGTGCTGCACCAGTTGAGTAGTCCTCGACTTATGACCGGTTGAGTAGTCCTCAACTTATGACCGGTTGGGGGGTTGCGGCATTAAAAAGGTTGAGAACCACTGGTCTAGAGAAGCTCGGATAGAATTCTTCTTCTTGTTTTTCTTTTTTCTTTTACTATTCCTAGACGCTGCTCACCGCAGACCACATAGTTCTTGCCACTGGTGGCAGACCAAGATACCCCGCCGAGGTAACCCGTCTTAATTCGTTCCTACTTGGCATTAACCCGAGTTAACTTCAGGGCAGCGTTTTGGCTGATCTGCGGTTAAAGATTGATTGACAACAAGGCTTCTCATGTTGGCCACGTTGAAGACAGGTGGACTTCTACTCCCAGAATTCCCCAGCCAGCATTGGTGGGCTTGACACTCCCAGAATCCCCCAGTCATGCAGATATTGCAAAGATTATTATTTATTTTTTAAGAACAAAACCAAGCAATTTCAGTGCACAGGGAACGACAGAGTCCCGTTTAATTCTTCATACATGTTGATCTTTACCTGTCCATCTCTTTTGTGAAAAATTCCAGAACATTCTCTCGTATGATGAACAGTTGAGGGAGCTAAGTATGTCTAGTCTAACGGAGAGAAGGAAGACTGAGGGGTTGTCAAAGTGGGGGGGGGGTTGATTTATTCTCCAAAACACCTGAGGGCAGGACAGGAAGTAACAAGTGGGAGCTTATCAAAGAAAGAGTCAACTTGGAACTAAAGAGAAATTTCCTGACAGTTTAGAACAGGGGTCTTCAAACTTGGCCCTTTGATGACTTGTGGACTTCAACTCCCAGAATTCCTCAGCCAGCAAAGGGCCAAGTTTGAAGACCCCTGGTTTAGAACAATCAGTGGAACAGCTTGCCACTTGCCATTGTGGGTGCGCCATCACTGATTATCTCCCAAAATAGACTAAAACAACTTCTTGAGGAGAGGGTTGGACTAGAAGACCTCTAAGGTCCCTTCCAGCGCTGTGATTCCGTTTATTCTTGTTTCCAGGTTCCAGGAGCCCAAGAGTTTGGGATTACAAGCGACGACATTTTCTGGCTAAAAAGATCCCCTGGAAAAACGTAAGCCCTTTTCTGTCTAGCGCTGTTTTTTTCCACTGTTTGGGCAGGGAGAATTTTATTTGATTTTCATCGTTACGCAGGCTCCTTCCGGCATCTTCTGTTAACCTTTGGCTGCTAAATAGAATTATCCTTTGAGGTGGGCGTTTCTCCAAAGCCTGTGATGTCATATCATGCCCCCCGAATTGTGTGCAGGAATATTTGTTTTTGTTTTGTTTTTTTAAAGTTTTGTGTCCAACAGGGATGTTAACAGAAAACGGGCATAACTGAATAAATACAAATGAATGCAGACTGATTCTTTTAAGCTTAATTTGCAGTGTGTGTGTGTGTGTGTGTGTGTGTGTGTGTGTGTGTGTGTGTGTGTGCCTTTTCTTCCTCTGAATATATGCTTTCTCCCTTTGGCTTTTTAAAATTTCGTTCTTGGCTTTGTGACTTAGTAGAGCCAGCAACGTAGGTTCCCATTCCGGATGGGAAATCTGTAAATCGGATTGAACAGAGATGTGTGTCCGAATAGAGTAATCAGAGGCTGTGTATGTTTATGTGGAGTAAACAGGAGCGATTCCAACTTGGTGTCCAATAATCCTGGCTGTGTGAGGTTTTCTGCACTTGCCTGAACCAGGAGAGGGCAGCAAGGGTTTATATTACACAATAGTCTTCCTTCCATTGCTGTGGTTTCTTTGCTATTACGGAGGAAAAATACCTTTAATATCCATACAGTCTGGCTGGGGGGAAATGTACAAAGCAGGAAAAGGGTTCTTGAAAGCTGGTCTCCCTTCCCTTCCCTTCACTTCACTTCTCAGTTACTTCCTTTCCTTTCTTTCCCTATTTCTTTCCCATTCCTTTTCCTTTTTTCCTCTCCTTCCTTCCTTCCCTACTCCCACCCCCCTTCCTTCCTTCCTTCCCTCCTCCCTCCCTCCCTCTTTCCTTTCTTCCTTCTCCACATGCTCTTCCTTTCTTCCTCCTTCCCTCCCTTTCTTCTCCTCTCCTCCCCTTCCTTCCCCTCCTTCCCTTCATTTTTCCCCTCCCCTCCCCTTCCTCTCTTTTTCACACTCTATACCCTCCCCTCCCTTCCTTCCTTCCTTCCTTCCTTCCTTCCTTCCTTCCTTCCTTCCTTCCTTCCTTCCTTCCTTCCTTCCTTCCTTCCTTCCTTCCTTCCTTTCTCTCTTTTCCTCCCTCCCCTCCCTCCCTCCCTCCCTCTCTCTATTCCTTCCTTCCTTCCTTCCTTCCTTTACATTTAATTACCCAACTAGTTAACATCATCAGTGCTACTGAGTGGGGTGTTTATATGCAGTTGCTTCCTCTTCCAGTGTTAATGTAGGAATGATTTTCTCCTTGGTCGTTCCTTGATTAGGGCATTTGGGTTTGTTTGTTTGTTTGATGGTTTTTCTGGTGTTAATCCCTGCTTATCTGGGAGTTGTTTCAAAATGTGCACAAGCAATGAGGGTCATTATTATCCAGATAGTTCCCTCCCCTTCAATGGCACAGCGTTCCGTCTTAGGGACAGTACTCTTCAATATGTTCATAAATGACTTAGATTAGGGAAACAGAAGGGGAACTATCAAATTTTCAGATGACACTAAGCTGGCAGGAACAGCCAACATCCCAGAAATTTAAGCTCAGGATCCCAAAGGATCTTGGCCGACTTGAACAATGGGCCCTGTCCAACAAAATGAAATTTAATGTGGAGAGAAGCAAGGTTTTAAACCTAGGCAGGAAAAACGAAAGGTGCAAGTACAGATTAGGCAATAAACCTGGCTGAAAAACAGTAACTGCGAGAGGGACCTTGGAGTCCTAGTGGACGATCGCTTAAACACGAGCCAGCCGTGTGCGGCAGCAGCCAGAAAAAGCTAATACAATCCTGGGTTGTATAAACAGAGGCATAGAATCAAAATCACGTGCGGTATGCGTACCGCTTTATAAAACCTTAGTAAGGCCACATCTTGAATACTGCGTCCAGTTTTGCTCACCACGTTACAAAAGAAGATGTTGAGATTTGGGGGGAAAAAGAGCAAAGAAGAGCAACTAAGATGATTAAAGGCCTGAAGAAAAAAAACGTATGAAGGATGGTTGCAGGTTTTGGGTATGGCTAGTCTAGAAAAAAGAAGGACTAGACATGAGAGCAGTATTCCAGTATTTGAGGGGGCTGCCCCAAAGAAAACAGGATCAACTTATTTTCCCAAGCAAGGACAAGAAGCAATAGGTGGAAACTAACCAAGGAGAGAAGCCCCCTGGAATTAAGGAGAAACTTCCTAACAGTGAGAACAGTTAACCAGTGGAACAGCTTGCCACCAGACCTTGTGGGTGCTCCAACACGGGAGGTTTTTAAGAAGAGACTGGACAGCCATTTGTCTGAAACGGTATAGGGACTGCGGCTGGAGCAGGGGGCTGGACTAGAAGACCTCCAAGGTCCCTTCCAGCTCTGTTCAGAATTGAAAATACTTCCGATGCCTTGATGTGTCCCAGGCTTTGTGTGTGTGTTTGAAAAAGAGCTAAGCAAACAATGTACGCTGCCGAGAGGTTTCTCTGAAAATGGCTTCCAGCCCCATCTCTTCTGTTGCATGTTGTAACAGTGTCGTGTTAGAAGCTCCCTGTTGTTTATACTTTGCATTCTTCAGCTTTAGTCAAAATAAGCCCGAAGGGGGTATAGTACAGTAATGCTGTGCTTTGTCAACCGTGTTTCACAGCAGACAGGGAAAGAGACGCTCAAAGGCTGCATTTAGTAACTGTTCCGTCAAGCGGGTTTCTCCGCCCCCCCCTTTTTTTCCCCAATCCTCCTTCATTTTTTGTTTTTGTTTATGGATTGTTGCACTGCAAATGAGCTGGCTGCGATTGATCAACAGCTATCTGGAAGAGAGAGAGGCTTGCCCCAAGTTTTGTATAATAATAATAAAGAAGAAGAAGAAGAAGAAGAAGAAGAAGAAGAAGAAGAAGAAGAAGAAGAAGAAGAAGAAGAAGAAGAAGAAGAAGAAGAAGAAGGAAGAACGAAGAGAAGGAGAAGGAGAGGGAAAGGGAGAGGAAGAGGAAGAGGAAGAAGAAGAGAAGAAGAAGAAGAAGAAGAAGAAGAAGAAGAAGAAGAAGAAGAAGAAGAAGAAGAAGAAGAAGAAGAAGGAAGAAGAAGAAGAAGAAGAAGAAGAAGAAGAAGAAGAAGAAGAAGAAGAAGAAGAAGAAGAAGAAGAAGAAGAAGAAGAAGAAGAAGAAGAAGAAGAAGAAGAAGAAGACGAAGAAGAAGAAGAAGAACAAGAAGAAGAAGAAGAAGAAGAAGAAGAAGAAGAAGAAGAAGAAGAAGAAGAAGAAGAAGAAGAAGAAGAAGAAGAAGAAGAAGAAGAAGAAGACAACCTTGGAGGTCATCTAGTCCAACCCCCTGTTCAGGCAGGAAACCCTACACCATTTCGGACAAATGGCTGTCCAGTCTCTTCTTAAAAACTTCAAGTATGGGAGCATTCACTGCTTCTGGAGGCAGGTTGTTCCACCAGTTAATTGTTCTAACTGTCAGAAAATTCTTCCTTAGTTCTAGGTTGCTTCTCTCTTTGGTCAGTTTCCATCCATTGCTTCTTGTCCTGCCTTCTCCTGCCTTTGGAGAATAGCTTGACTCCCTCTTCTTTGGGGCAGCCCCTGAGATATTGGAACACTGCTATCCTGTCCCCCCTCGTCTTTCTCTTTGTTAAACTAGACAGACCCAATTCCAGCAACCGTTCCTTATGTGTTTCAGCCTCCAGCCCCCTGATCCTCTTTGTTGCTCTTCTCTGCCCTCTTTCTAGAGTCTCAACATCTTTTTTACATCGTGGTGACCAAAACAGGATGCAGTATTCCAAGTGTGGCCTTACCAAGTCCTTGCAAAGTGGTATTAATATGAAGGTGTCTTGTTCATCATTTGCAGTCATTGTCATAGAGCCTTAGAATGACAGACATGACAGAATAATAGAGTTGGAAGGGACCTTGGAGGTCTTCTAGTCCAACCCCCTGGTCAGGCAGGAAACCCTGTGCCATTTCAGACAAATGGTTGTCCAATCTCATCTTAAAAAACCTCCAGTAATGGAGCATTCACAGCTTCTGGAAAGAAGGACTAGGGGTGACATGATAGCAGTATTCTAGCATTTGAGGGGCTGCCACAAAGAAGAGGGGGTCAACATATCTTCCAAAGCACCAGAAGGCAAGGCAAGAAACAATGCTTGGAAACTAACCAAGGAGAGAAGCAAGCTGGAATTAAGGAGAAGCGTCCTAACAGAACAATTCACTTGAGTCCAGAAGTTGTAAGTGCTCCATCCCTGGAGGCTTTTAAGAAGCGTCTGGACAACCCTTTGTCTGAAAGGGTAGAGATTCTCCTGCTTGAGCAGGGGGTTGGACTAGAAGACCTCCAAGGTCCCTTCCAGCTGTATTCTGATTGATCGCCTGCCGAAGATTCGTGTGGATGGCTTCAGATAAATACCTGCAGGCGCATTCTTTCAGATGTAGGGCTGACAGCTCACAGCGTCCCATGAGAAGTACATCATGCTCCTTGCCTCCTCCTCCTCCCCCCCCCCTCCTCCTCCTCCTCCTCCGAAATGGAATTACATTATTAGTACCTAGTGAGGATTAGCAATGACATGGGCATTGTCTTGCTGATTTGGCCACCCGCGTTTAAGTTTGTCTTCTGGAGGAGCCGTCCCTTCGGCGCACTGTTCTTCGCGCATTCTTTCCATTTTCTCTTTTGGTTAAGGGCGGGGTGGGGGGGGAGATCGCTGGGAAGGGGGTGTGTGGAATCCCCTTTACAAATTATCCGTATTAAACTGGGTGGACTGTATCCCCACCTCCATTTTCTGCTTTCAGGGCAGCTTTTTTTTTTTTTTAAGTTTTGTTTGCAAAAGGAATTCTTTCTCCTGCGTTTGTCTGTTTTCTTTTGCTCTTTAGGAAAAAAAGAAAAGACTCCCCCCCCCACTTTAGTTCGACAGGCTCCAGCGTGCCCCAGGATAATGGTTTCAGACCCTGATGGTCTTTTTATCTGCGGTGTGTCCCCCCCCCCACTTTGGGTGTGCTTTTAATGGGTTGTTCTACTATCCGTGTGTTGTTGTTTTTATTACCATTTGGCTGGTGGTGAAATTCTGGATGGGGAGAATATGTTTCAGCAGGGACTTTTTTGTGCTGCTTGGAGGGATTACATGCCCTCAAGAATATGGAATCATAGGGCTGGGAGGGGCCTCAAAGGTCTTCTAGTCCAACCCCTCTTGAAGGCGGGAGACCTTAAACCAGCGGTAGGCAACCTTGGCTCTTTGATGACTCGTGGACTTCAACTCCCAGAATTCCTGAGCCAGCCATGCTGAGGGGAAAGGGAGAGGTTTCCAAGCTGAGCCATGCTGGCTCAGGAATTCTGGGAGTTGAAGTCCACGAGTCATGAGGGGACCATAGTTCCCCCATGCTGGCTCAGGAATTCTGGGAATTGAAGTCCACGAGTCATCAAAGAGCCAAGGTTGCCTACCCCTGCCTTATACCATCCAGTCAAATGGCTGTCCAGTCTCTTCTTGAAAACCTCCAGTGATGGAGCACCCACAACCTCTGGAGGCAAGCCGTTCCACTGGTTAATTGTTCTATGTGTGACTTTGTGACTCAGTGACTTTGCCGTGCCTCGTAGTAGAGCTGGTTACACCTCACTTAACAACCGTCTTGCTTAGCAGTGCAAATGTTGGGCTCCCTTATGTTCATAAGTTGAGGATTTAACCTGTACTTTGCCTTTGATCCCTTTCTGAAGTTTAATGAAAAACTGTTTGAAAAAGAAGCAAGTCAATTGTGTCAGTCCAGACGGAAGGCACCAGCTGAGTTTGATTTTCAGTTTCTTTCTGTCTTCTCTGTTCCTTCCACAGGTTAGTTGTTGGTGCCAGCTGTATCTTTTAAACCGAGATGCATTGTGGTATTGTTGCGGTGGTCGCCTGGATGGCTTGTGACGTTTTCTGCACGTTGAAATCCACAACGAAGTTGCCGTTCAGAAAGAGCACCCCAACAGATTTATTCAGTGATCCAAAAGACACACCTCCGTTTGCAACGCCATCCGTTTTCCTTGCCTTTTAAAAATTGGTACGCACAAGAGCCGTGTTGTGTATACAGGCTGAGAGTAAAATTTCTCTCCGTCTATCTGGAGGCAAGGGAAGGTTTGCAAATTTCCTCGTAAATCTTGCCGTTTTTAGTTTTCCCGTCTTTCTCAAAAAAAAAATCAAGCAGAATTATTTTTCCTTGACCCGGACGCTTTTCTAGATGTTTCCCTTGAGTGCGCCGGCTTTCTCACCGGCCTCGGATTGGATACTACCGTGATGATCAGGAGCATCCCGCTTCGAGGATTTGACCAGGTAGCTTCTGCGGCTTGTGATCTGCTTTTGATCCCTATCTTGTTTTTTTTTTTCTTTGAAGCCGTTTCGCTTCTCCTCCTAGAAGCTTTTTCAGGTCTGACTGAACAGTGGGGAATGGAAGGATTTATACTCCTTGCAGACTGCTGGTCATTTGCATCCTTTTAGAGAGTCGTTGAGGCCACCTGGAAGTTTACCTGTGTCCTCAGGGTCACCTGAGTGGTGCAAATGGGTGTGGAACGTTCTTGGCTCCAGGATGTTTTCTGCCCTATGTCCTTTCACTGTTGAAGGCGGGTGCAGTTCCTGAAAAAGCACCTTTGAGACAGCCATGACCTGGATGATTGAGAATCTCCATAGACTTTTGATCCCTAGTTGATCCTGAGTTGACAGAGCGTCACCCAGGACCTTCACTGGGTGAACAAAAGTGGAGTTACCGTTGTCTCTTGTTAGCAAATGGCCAGTCTGGTGATGAACCACATGGAATTGTCGGGTCACCCAATTTCTAAAGAAATGCAGCCCAACTAACAGTCATAAATCACATTCTCCAATTAGTTTGAAATGCAGGCTTTCCCTCCAGTTCTCCAGCCTGCCAATTCTTATCATCTCTTATTTCAACAACCTTGATTCTCACGCTAGGTCCAGTATTGTTATGTCTAGCTAAACCAGTGTTTCTCAACCTTGACAATTTTAAGGCATGTGGACTTCAACTCCCAGAATTCCGCAGCCAGCATTGCTGGCTGTGAAATTCTGGGAGTTGAAGTCCACATGCCTTAAAATTGTTAAGGTTGAGAAACACTGAGCTAAACTCTCATGCACATTCCTCTCCCTAGCATCATTTCTCTAACTCTAGCTCTAAAAGTAAAACATAAGAAGCAAACGGTTGCATCTCCAACTGTTGTCAAAGCAAAACGTCTGATGTTAGCAGCGTTGACAGGGGCATAACTCGCTTGAGAAACGTCTTGCTTAGCAACAAATTAATACAGACTACCTGTATTAAAAAGCATATATAAACCACCGGCCTCTGCCCCCCCCTTTCCCTGCTTGCCACGAAGGCTTCGACAGATTAAAATTTGGGGTTATCGTTGTATGTTGTTAGCAAATGGCCAGTCTGGTGACGAACCACATGGAAGCGTCGGGCACCCGGTTTCTGAAGAAATGCAGCCCGACTAAAGTCAAGAAGCTGGACAACGGCCGGCTGCGGGTGACCTGGAACTATGCTGACTCTGGCAAAGAAAAATCGGATGAGTTTGACACGGTGATGTGGGCAGTAGGTAAGGAACCCCCCCCCCCCAATACCTGTAAAACTTTGCTTTGCTCTAGATTGTTGAATTAATCCGGATTTATTTTTGGTCATGGACACAGTTGAAAAACGTTGGAGAACTTGATTTGTGGTTGATGAATATTCCGGGCGAGAATTGTGTGGCTCAATTCTTTTTGCACAAGTCCATGACTATAGATCCTGGCTTGTGACCAAGCCATCTAGGTTTGTTAGCTGCCCTCCAAATCATTGGCTTGGTTCTCTTCTAGCTGTCCCCACCAGCTGCAGGAGCCAGATGCTGTAGCTTGGGAGATATGTGTCAGCTTACTTACTCATTCCCTGCAAAGCTACAGTCTTGAAGAGCCCTAGCTTATGCTGGAATGCAAACACAACCGATGTTTTCAGATTCCGGTCTTTTATTTTTGCTCATTAGCAAGGAGTTATTCACGCCAGCCGCTGGGGGTTAACCAAACTGGCTTTCCCATCCCTGCTGCTTCAGATCCACAGCTAAAGTCTAGGCACTCCACCCCAAGGGACTAAGGATTAAGTTGGCTAAGGAGTAAAGCTGCCTAATTGATGGGCGCTTCGCTGTCGGGTTTTGTTTGTCTTGGTGTTTTAATTCTCTATCCACACACATCAACGCCAGGTGTCCCCGCTAACAGACTGGGAAGCTGGGAAAGCACTTCCTGCCTCCAGATGTGTCCATTACATACCCTGAGTGAAAAGGGACAGCTCGTGGAGGGGGGCGGGTGGAGATAAGGCTCCTACTGAGCCTCTTTAAGTCACTTAAACAACAAATCGCGGGAGTTGAAACATGCTCTGTAAATTGCAAGCGGGCTTGGAGTCACCTTCGTAGAGTTACAGAAGACTACCAGGCTGATAAACTTCATGCTTCTTGCATTTGAAGAGAAGGACTTGTTTTCAAGGAGTTACGAGCCCAAGTAGATCTGAAGAGCAGGCCTGGAGGTGTCAGGCTGATGGACTGAATCACTGAATGATTGATCGTGGTCTATCAAGTTGGTGTTGACTCTTAGCAACCACTTAGATGGATTTTCCTCCAGGACCATTCATTCTGAGTTGGTCCAGTAGGCCTTCTCCTTACCACTATTATATTCTTACCGTAAGCATCCTGGGTCATACAGCATCGCAGTCTGGTTTGGAAGCATCGCTGTTTCAGACAGGAAGGCAGCGCAGAGAGTGGTGAGGACGGCAGAAAAGATTATTGGCAGTTCCTTCCCTTCATCCAGGACGTGGCATATAAGTGTTGCTTGAGCAGGGCCCGCAAGATTGTCTGGGTCACTACACACCCTCTTCACGACCTGTTTTCCTAATGGGAGGAGGGGGGCTCCCTTTTTTTAAAAAAATTAAAAGTTTTACAAATTTAATACAATATAACCCAAACCCCTCCCACTCCTTCCCTCCCTCCCCCACTTCCCAGAGCTGATTACAGGGTAACAAATAAACAATCATAATCTAACAAACATTAATGGGGGGGGCTCCCTTTTAAAGCAAAGTTGCAAACAGTAATAATAATAATAGTTTATCTTTGCAACTTTGCTTTACAAAAGAAAATGTATTTATTTCAATATAATTCTGTGATATCATCTGTCACACACAACAGTAACGGTAACAACAACAACAATAATAATAATAATAATAATGGTCTGAAATGGTATAGGGTTTTCTGCCTGAACAGGAGGTTGGACTAGATGATCTCCAAGGTCCCTTCCAACTTTATTATTGTTGTTGTTGTTGTTTTGTTGTTACTGTTACTGTTGTTACTATTATTGTTGTTGTTATTATTTTGCCCTTATGAATTGCTTTCAGATTGCTCCCTTTTTAAGGCTTGTCCTTTATTTTTTCCCCAGAAAATATAGTCATTGTAATTTAGCATTGAATCCTCAAAAAAAAAAAAACCCCAAATAATTATAATATTATAATAAAAGACAATCCTGGCTAACAGATTTCAATCCATCCGTCTCTTAATTTTGGTCATTGCTCCGCAAGTAACTGGCAGTGGCATTCAATGGGATTGTCTCTCCCCCCCCCCTCAAATACACAACTAATATTATTATTGTTGTGAGGTTTATGTCCTGCCTATATTCTGTACAACTCAAGAGTAATCTACCTCATGTTCTCAGTTAGACTTTGCCGGTGCATAGGTCAAGTTAAGTTGAGTTCCAGATTGATGAGATACAGTCAGTTTTAATGAATGAATCAATCTCCATTTAATTGTGTTAGTTTTAATGGGATGCGTTGTTTTTTCTTTTGGAAGTTTTGATTAATGGGTTTTTTTCAATGCTGCCCAGAGTCACAATTGGGCAGCCGTCGATATTCTTAAATAAATAAACGTCTTAAAGGGCGATGTTATTGTAAAATTAGAAATAACCATCTATAGAGCTGTTTGGTAGTGCTGGTGTCGCCATTATTTTGTAAGTCCTTCCGTTTCTTTCTTTTCTGCTTGTAGTTCTGGTTGTAACAAAGGTGTGGGAAATTTGCAGCCTTGCAAACTTCAACAGGATCTGATTGCTGTTCGGATTTAACCATAATTCTGTCTCTGCCTCTCTCCTTCCCTGTCTCCTCCTCCTCCTTTTTCCATCCTCCTCCTCTTTCTCTCCTTCCCCTCCTCCTCCTCCTCCTCCTCCTCCTTTTTCTCTTTCCATTCCCTTCCTCCTCTTTCTCTCTTCTTCCTCTTCCTCCTATCCTTTCTCTCCTTCCCTTCTTCTCCTCCTCCTCTTTCTCTCCTCCTCTTCTGCTCCTCCTCTTTCTCTTTCTCTGCCTCTTTCCCTCCTCTTCTTTCTCCTTCTCTCCTTCTCTGCTCCTCCTCTCTTTCCTCCTCCTCCTCTTTCCCTCCTCGTCCTCCTTCTCCTCTTTCCCTCCCCTCCTCCTCTTTCTCTCTTCCTCTTTCTCTTCCTCCTTCTCCTCTGCTCCTCCTCTTTCTCCTTCTCCTCCTCTTTCCCTCCTTGTCCTCCTCCTACATCGTCCCCTTCCTCTTTTCCTTTCCTCTCCTTTCTGCTTCCTCTTCCCTAAAGGCCGAGCACCAGACACTGGAACCCTCAACCTGCGTCGTGTGGGTGTGGAAACCACTCCGGAAACAGGCAAAATCCTTGTCGATGCAGCAGAAGCCACTTCGATCCGCCATGTTTTTGCAATTGGGGACATCACTGAGGTATAAACGCTTCGGATGTCCCAGGAAACCCAGTGCCAGAGAGAGCAGCAGGGACCCCACTGTTCGGCCCCGAGCTTCTCATCTATCTTCTATTAAAACCTGTTTATTCCACAGGCAGGAGCGATCATGACAAGGCCTGTGAGATACTCCCTGACATACGACATGGATAGAACAGAACAGAATAGAATAGAATAGAATAGAATAGAATAATGAAGAATAGAGTAGAACAGAATAGAATAGTATAATGTAGAATAGAATAGAACAGAACAGAACAGAATTAATAATAATAATAATAATAATATAATAAATAACAATAATAAAAAAGTTGGAAAGGACCTTGGAGGTCATCTAGTCCAACCCCCTGCTTAAGCAGGAAACCCTATACCATTTCAGACAAATGGCTGTCCAGTCTCTTCTTGAAAACTTCCAGTGTTGGAGCATTCACCGCTTCTGGAGGCAGGTTGTTCCACTGGTTCATTGTTCTCACTGTCAAGAAGTTTCTCCTTAGTTCTAAGTTGCTTCTCTCCTTTGTTAGTTTCCGTCCGTTGCTTCTTGTCCTGCCTTCAGGGGTTTTGAAGAATAGCTTGACTCCCTCTTCTTTGGGGCAGCCCCTGAGATATTGGAATACTGCTATCATGTGAATAGAATAGAATGGAATAGAATGGAATAGAATAGAATAGAATAGAATAGAACAGATGAAGAATAGAATAGATGAAGAATAGAATAGAATAGAACAGAACAAACTTATTGTCACTTTAAATGTACACTAATCAGCATACATTAAAATTTATTTATTTATTTATTTATTTATTTTATTTATTTATGAGACTTATATACCGCTTTAAGTGCAAGCACTCTCTAAGCGGTGTACACCAGTAAGCAATGTATATATATATATATTTACATTGCCCCCAACAATCTGGGTCCTCATTTTACCTACCCCGGAAGGATGGAAGGCTGAGTCAACCTTGAGCCGGTGAGATTTGAACCGCTGACCTGCTGAACACAGTCAGCTAAAGTGACCTGCAGTACTGCTGCATACAGCTCTCAAAGGGTAACCACCTCCAGTATACACTGCATAAACATAGCCAATAAAATAAAATATTTATGCATATACCCACATCTACATGCATATGTGGCCCAGAGAAACCCACATTTCAATATTTAGCCTAAGGCCAAGGCAGAGCCAGGGCCATCCTTTTTCACCTTCCTTCTGTAGGGGACAGTTTTTCGTTTTGTTTTCTTTTTTTAAAAAAAAAGAACCATGGGAAATGAATGTAGAAATGCAAAGTCCTAAGATACTGAAGAGTTAACCGGAACGGTTGGGGACACTTGGGGATCCCGTTGCTTCTTTTAAAGAAATCTTGTAAAAATCTCTTCTGATGTTCTCATTTTAAAGGGCCGTCCTGAATTAACGCCCACCGCCATCGCTTCCGGGAAATTGTTGGCCCAGCGGTTGTTTGGCCTCTCTGCCAAACTCATGGATTACGACAATGTGAGTAGGGTTCGCTTTGTTGACAGAATGACAGCTGTGGTGGGCACGATCTTCACCAGCCCATCTTTTTTTAAAATATATATTTTTATTAGCTTTTTTTTATAATCGCAAGTGCTTAAAGTTTTATCCGCAACATATTGTCTGGATGCCAACACCTAGCTTGCTAATACATATTAAGTTCCTTTCTCTCTACCTCGTTTGCCAATGATAAAAGGCGTCCCATGTTCTAAAGCAGTGTTTCTCAACCATGACTAGTTTAAGATGTATGGACTTCAACTCTCAGAATTTCCCAGCCAGCATGCTCATCTAGGAAGTCTAGGAATTGAAGTCCACACATCTTAAACTAGTCAAGGTTGAGAAACACTGTAAAGTGTACTGAATCTGCTTTCTCTTTCATTTTCAATGTCTATCCATTTCTGCACACTCTAAAAAAATTTTAATTAACTCTTCCTCCGTTGGTAAATCTTCATTTTTCCAATGTTGAGTGAATACAATTCTTGCTGCAGTTAATATATGTAAAATTAAATCTATACACTCTTTCTCATAATTTCCTACAATTATGCCTAACAAAACTTATTCTGGCTTAAACTCTGTATGTTTTTTTAGTCATTTTCTCTAACCATGTATGTATTCTTAACTAGCATCTTTTAGCTTTAGACTAGAGCATGTCCACCAAAGATGGTAATAAGTGCCTGGTTTTTGTTTACACTTCCAACAATTGCTTGATATATTTTTAAACATTTTTGCTAACCTCACGGGTGTTAGATGCCATCTCTAAAACATTTTATATCAATTTTCATTGTACGCTACCGCTTTTGTCATTCACCAGCCCATCTTGACTAGATCTTCACTTTTTTGTAGTTGAGGCCTTTCTGAAAATAGACAGGAAGCTAGAGAGATTTATTCTTTACTCCGAAGCGTTCACTTCATTTTTGGGGGGGGGGGAGGGAATTAATTTTATTATTAAAAAGGATCCCTAAGGAAATAAAGGTAGTTGACTCACAAAAGTTCGTTTAGTGACTGTGTGAAGTTACAACAGCACTGGAAAAAGTGACTTATGCCCGTTTTTCACACTTAACGACCGTTGCAACATCCCCAGGGTCACGTGATCAGGATTCAGATACTTGAATCAGATAACGAGTCACGTTTATGATGGTTGCGGTGTCCCCCCCAGGGATGGTGTGTTTCCCCTTGGGGGACCTTCTGACAAACAAAGTCAACAGGGGAAGCCAGATTCACTTAACAACTGTGTGGCTAATTTAACAGCAGCAGTGTTTCACTTAACGGCTGTGGCAAGAAAGGTCATGAAATGGGACAAAATTCTCTTAACAACTGTCCTGTAGTTGAAAGTCAAGGACCTCCTGTATCTGGAAATCGCAGGCCCTTCAGCCTTACGTCGCTGAAAATGCAGGAAGACCCGATGTCTCTGGTTAGCGACTAACGTTATGGCTTCACCTTCTACCTGTAGGTGCCTACAACGGTGTTCACCCCTCTAGAGTATGGTAGCGTTGGCATCTCAGAAGAAGCAGCTGTCCACCGATATGGTCCAGATAACATAGAGGTAGGCTGTCATCCAGCTTTCTGGTCATCAGAACGATGTAAGCCGTTTGGGGTGGCGCGTCCTACTTGGTGCTTTTTCAGCCTTTGAGGGGAACCACAATTTTAGAAGCTGGTTAGGTGTGATCCAGGAAAAAGGATCTCAGGGTTTGACACTTTTGAGAATGAGCTTATCGCAAGCAAAATGGTGGAATAAGGAAGAACAAGAGAGAGGGGGGGAGAGAGAGAGAAAGAGAGAGGAGGGAGGGAGGAAGGGAGAGAAGAAGGGGGGAGGGAGGGAGAGACCAATTCAGTCTCTGTTATTATTCCCAGTCTCAACGCAAGTAATTTTAGCCTTTGTGATGGAATAACAACTCTCTTTCAGGTGTACCACGCATTTTATAAACCCTTGGAGTTTGTTGTGGCCGAAAGAGATGCTACTCAGTGCTACATAAAAGTAAGTTGGCCTTCCTAAATGTCTCAAAGGACTTACAATCTCTATCAGAAACCCTTGGGGGTCATACAAGGGCTTTAAAAAAAAAAAAAACATCAACAACATAAAACGCTTTTGTTTTTGCTTTTTTCCTGACCCTTCCATCTTCCATCCTCCCCAAGGGAGAACAATATCTTGTGCAAATTCCTTGCACAAGATTTTGAAGATTCTTGTTCTGTTCTGCTTCTGGCCTGCCCTGGCGTAGCCTAGCCTAGCCTAGCTTAGCCTATTCCATTCCATTCCATTCCATTCTTACTATACATTCTGTTCTGTTGTGTTCCATTTCGTTCCATTCCATTCTTATTGTACATTCTATTCTGTTTTGTTCTATTCTATTCTCAATAAAGATTCTATTCTATTCTCAATAAAGATTCTATTCTATTCTATTCTATTCTCAGTAAATATTCTATTCTATTCTCAAAGATTCTATTCTATTCTCAATAAAGATTTCTATTCTATTCTATTCTCAATAATGATTCTATTCTATTCTGTCCTGTTCTCAAAGATTCTATTCTATTCTTAATAAAGATTCTATTCTATTCTATCCTCAGTAAAGATTCTATTCTATTCTCAAAGATTCTATTCTATTCTATTCTCAATAAAGATTCTATTCTATTCTATTCTATTCTATTCTCAATAAAGATTCTATTCTATTCTATTCTATTATCAATAAAGATTCTATTCTATTCTATTCTATTCTCAATAAAGATTCTATTCTATTTTATTTTATTCTATTCTATCCTATCCTATCCTATCCTATCCTATCCTATCCTATCCTATCCTATCCTATCCTATCCTGGCTAGCTGCAAACTCCCTGTTCTTTGTGAATCCTTCGCAGATGGTGTGCCTGCGTGAAAAAGATCAGCGGATCCTGGGTCTTCATTTCATTGGCCCAAGTGCCGGCGAAGTTATTCAAGGCTTCGCTCTTGGAATCAAGTAAGTTTAAAGAAGGCTAGCCTCACAGCCTAGCCTCCCCCCAGCTGCCTTGTTTCTTAAACCTGCCCTTTGAAGTCTCTCCAAGATAATGAAAAAAATCACGATTGCCATTTTAGCCGGACTAAACCATATCCAGTGTTTGGGTTTTCTTTTATGTTCCTATTTCCTCTAGTTTGATGAAAACTACGGCATCCTTTATTAATAAAAGCGCAGCTTAGGAACGGACGTGTCAGCTTTTGGTTTTTATGTTTACGAAATAGGTTTCTTGGCAAAACCTGCATTTTTTGATCCCTTCCCTGTTCTGCAAAAAAAAAATATATATGAAAAATTAGCTTTGCAGTCCAGCTGCTGCTGACTCTTCAAAGTGTAACGAAGGGGGAAGGGGTTTCCTGTTATGTGTTTCCCCCCCTCCCCATTCTCGGGATAATAAATGATCATTCAGAAGCTTTTCTTTAAAAGAGAGAGGACTAAAACCTTGTTTTGATTATGTTTCTCTTTTAACAAAGAGAGAATCATGAGAGCTTTGGAGGGGGGGGTGGAATCAGGATTTCTTTTCCCTCTTCAGATGTTTCCCTATTATTTTTTTGGTCCATGGTCTTCTAGTCCCTGCCCAAAAGACTGAATAAAGTTACTTGAAAACTTTAGATTGGCTATCATTCCATTCATTTTTGCTGTGTTGTGTGTTTCTGTATGCCTTGCTTGTTCTTGCCAACCCTGACGTCTGATGTTTGGCCAGAATAGATCTTAAAAAATGAAAATAGATCATGGGATGTAGACCATGGCTGACATGACGAAAGAAGAGAAGAAATAGGGGTGACCTGAAAGCTGTCTTCCAGCTGTCACAGAGAACGGGAGGTTGACCTCTTCTCTAGAGCATCTGAGGACAAGAGAAGAAGTAACAGATGGGAACTTATCAAAGAGGGATCCTACCCAGAACTAAGGAGAAATTTCCCAACAGTGAGAACCATCAGTGGAACAGCTTGCCTCTAGAAGTTGTGGATGCTCCATCCCTGGAAGTTCTCAAGAAGAGGTTGGACAGCCATTTGTCTGAAATGATCTAGGACCAGGGTGGTGAACCTATGGCACGGGTGCCAGAGGCAGCACCCAGAGCCCTTTCTGTGGGCACGCGCGCCATCGTCCCAGTCCTAGGCCTTCAGCTGGGTTTTATAAAACCTTTTCACTTTAGGCCTCCGCCGCCGTGTACAAAAAATAAAAAAAAAGGTTCAATCCATCAGTCAATTTCAACTTCTCATGGGAAAAAAAAAGATCTGGCAAAGTTGGAATTGATTGATTGAACTTTTTAGTCCCACCCAGTCTGCCGTTATCACCGCAGCCATGCCCACCCAATGGGCCACACCCACCCAATGGGCCACGCCCACCCGGCACCCGACGATGCATAAGTGGGTTTTGGGTTGCTGTTTGGGCACTTGGTCTCTAAAAGGTTCGCCATCACTGATATAAGATCTCCTGCCTTAAACAGGAGGGTTGACTAGAAGACCTTCAGCAGTTGTGGGTGCTCCATCACTGGAGGCTTTTGAGTGGATGGTCATTTATCCAGAATAGTAGAGGGTCTCTTGCTTGAGCAGAGGGCTGGACTAGAAGACCTCCAAGGTCCCTTCCAGTCCTATTAGAATGTTCTATATAGATCTCTTTCCCTCCCGATTCTGAACCAATATGGTCAACCCTGGAATATGGTGGACTTTCCTACTGAAGGAAGGTAAGATAAAGTAAGATAAGATAAGATAAGATAATCTTTATTGTCATTTTTTTACTGTGGGCACAACGGCACACGTCAAAAAATGAAATGTAGTTGCCGGCTCTCAAAGTGAAACACATACATGACACACACCTAAACATACCATATACAACATAGGTATAGACCCACACCCCTACATATACATAGCAAATAAATATTAAATACTGTCCATCTTGAATATATAACGGAAGGAGTTAATTCTGGAGAAAAGTGACCGGGATAGGAACAGACTCTACCAGACTGAGCATAAAGATTCCTTGGTTTTTTTCATTTTCTTCTCTTCTCCACTGTCTTCTGCAGATGCGGTGCTACCTATTCTCAAATGATGCAGACCGTTGGGATCCACCCAACCTGTGCTGAAGAAGTGAGTAAGTTACACATTACGAAAAGGTCAGGCTTAGATCCGACCGTCACGGGCTGCTGAGGTTAAGCACCATCCCTGGTTCACCATGCAAAACATGCTGGGCAGAAACTTCCAGAAGAGAAAGAAGGAGCAGATCAACACCTAAAGGTCCATTGTTTCAATTCTAAAACATCAGTAAGTATAAACTAAAAATAATAATAATTAAAAAAAACTATATATCCCCCTATTGTTAATAGTGAAGATGTACCAACCCAAGTAAATATTCCTTGTTTTTCTTCCAAAGTGGAAAGAATCAATGCAGGGGGTCTCGCCTGAACAACCGTAATTGACCCCAAAATTTCTGCTGCTGCTAAGCAAAACATTTGTTAAGTGAATTTTGCCCCATTTTACAACTTTTCTTGCCACCGTTGTTAAGTGAATCCAGCTTCCCCTTCGACTTTGCTTGTCGGATGGTCGCAAAAGGGGACTCTGCGACCGTCATAAATGTGAGTCAGTTGCCCCGCATCTGAATTCTGATCCCGTGACCACAACGGTCGTAAGTGTGAAAAACGGTCGTAAGTCGCTTTTTCCAGTGCCGTTGTAACGGTCACTAAATGAACTGTTGCAAGATGACGCCTGATTATAGAAGACGTGTTTTTTTCCCCCACCACAAATTGTTTCTTATTTTCGCCTCAACCAGAAGGTGGAGATGCTGGCTAAGAGATTAGCCCAGGAGTGAAATGATATCAAATGATAATAAAATGGGCCGGATGGCTAGGAAAATGCCGATAAATGGCCATCTACGGTGATTTCTATTGTTAGCGATTGGATCAGGATAACCCTGCCTTAGTGTTTATTTCCAGTACAAATAAAAAGATATCTGGACACCACAAAATGTGTACCACTTTATACTGCACTAGTGAGGCCACACTTGGAAAAACGGCACACAGTTCCTGTCACTACAATCCCAAAATAGGTTGAGACTCTAGAAAGAGTGCAGAGAAGAGCAACAAAGGTGATTAGGAGAGGCTAAACCACACAATGAACAATTGTGGGAAATAGGTGTGCCAATCCGCTGCAGGTAGTGGCTTGACAGTCTAGGTTTAAAAACTTTCAGTTTTAGAAGACTAACTCATAAATTGGGCTGCAGTACTCAAAGCTGAGAACATGGAGCTAAGGAGTTGATGAAAACCAGTAAGTTGATAGATGGGATTGTAGATAGGAAGGAGAGGATGTAGGCTAGATTCATGTATCTTGATAGGTCAAGGGTCTCCAAACTTGGCCCTTTGATGGACTTCCTGGCTGAGGGATTCTGGGAGTTGAAGTCCACAATTCATCAAAGGGCCAAGTTTGAAAAGCCCTGATCTAGGTTTAAAAGCTCTCAGTTTTAGAAGACTAACTCATTAATTGGGCTGCACTACTCAAAGCTGAGAACACGGAGCTAAGGAGTTGATGAAAACCAGTAAGTTGATAGATGGGATTGTAGATAGGAAGGAGAGGATGTAGCCTAGATTCATGTATCTTGATTGGTGGTTTGGGTTCTGCAATTAGCCAGTGTCTCTGAAAAGAACTACATTCCCTCTGTCCAAGTCTCCCATTGAAGTCAGTATCCTTATGCTGCCAATATTTATTTCTGTGGTTTTAGACTCGCGAGACCAACTCCAGCGAAAGCCTGCCTGCAAACCGATCCCATTTCTGGAACATTCGCTCTTCCTGTTTATTTCACGGGACGGAGACATCTAGATGGATGCTGGTGAGCTGGAACTAGGTGCCAAAGCAGGAGCAGATCCACTGCTTTTTTGAGAAGTTCTGCCTTGCATTTTCCAGGGATGGTGTGGTTTTTTTTTTTGTTTGTTTGTTTGTTTTGCCACGACAACTTCAAGCAGCCTCGTGTCCATGCCAAAAAACCAACCAATGTTGCGAGAGATTTCCCGGGCGTGCAGATATTTGTGCGTTTGAGGAACACACTCAAAGTCACGGGACGCCGGCTGATGACGGCTTGTGTATAAATCCACTCAGCGGGGTACACAGGCCTGATGCTTGCTGGTGCCTTGTTGAGCAGAAAGAAATTACGTTGGGATGGACAGTAGGCAATTTCATAGAGGGATTAAAAAAAAAATACCTTTTTGCTGAATTTTGTAGAGGCAGTGGTTCATTCAGGAGAAAGCCTCGGCTTATGATCACAATGGAGGCTAAAATTTCTGTTGCTAAGCAAGATGATTGTTAAGTGAGTTTTGCCCCATTTTACGACCTTTCTCGCTACGGCCGTTACTAAATTAAGTAAAGCAACACACAGTCTCCTGGGGATTGGCCCAAAGCCATCCACCCAGCTTTCATGATTAAGGTGGAACTAGAACTCCCAGCCTCCTGGTTATGGGCCCAAAGTCCCCCAGCTGTTTTTTGTGCCTAAGGCGGGACTAGAATTCAGGGTCTCTCTGTTTCTAGCCCTAGCACCTTAACCACTAGGCGCAGCTGGCTCTATGATAGATCGATATAAACTAGATTTGTCCCTTTCATCCGTTTTCTATCATCTCTCTCTTCGCCCACCATTTTGGTTGCAAACTTTTCAGCAGTCAACAACGAGAAGTCTTCAGGAAAAGAACACTTGGAGGCACTGTTTGAAAAACACGCTCCCCCACGCCCACCCCTCCGGGTGACAACCGGGATAGAACTTGATGTAATTACTTCATCAAGTCTGAAAACCTGTCTGCCAGATGTCAGGGAGTTAGTTGTGGCTCTATTGTGCCCGACTTAAGTCGACATTGTCAGCTATTATTCCTCTTAATCCCCCAACATCATGGTTTAATGATGGGCCGTTGGAGATGTCCCCTTCCGCGCCTCTTTGTGGCTTATGTTCACCCCTGGGCTGCAGGCAACAGGAGCAGTAGATGGCGTAGCGGCGTTCGGTGTTCGGCTGAGCTGTCTTTATTCTCGCAGACAGGTTGTCCTCGACTTTGCAGCAGTTGTTTAGTGACCGTTCATAGTTAACGACAGTATTGAAAAATGAATTCCCCAGACAGCATGGAATTGAGGTCCATGCATCTTAATGTTGCCAAGTTTGAAGTACACAGATCTAATCCCACACAGTAATTATATTTATCTCTGTCTGTCTGTATCTATCTATCATCTCTGTGTGTCTCTATCTCTAGCTACCTACGTACCTATCTATCTATCATCTCTGTCTGTATCTCTATCTACCTACATATCTATCTATCTATCTATCTATCTATCTATCTATCTATCTATCTATCTATCTATCTATCATCTCTGTGTGTCTCTATCTCTACCTACCTACCTACCTATCCATTCATCTACCAATCATCTCTGTGTGTCTATCATCTCTGTCTGTCTATCTATCTATCTATCTATCTATCTATCTATCTATCTATCTATCTACCTACCTACCTACCTACCTACCTCTCTATCTATCCATTCATCTACCAATCATCTCTGTGTGTCTATCATCTCTGTCTGTCTGTCTGTCTATCTATCTATCTATCTACCTACCTACCTACCTCTCTATCTATCTATCCATTCATCTACCAATCATCTCTGTGTGTCTATCATCTCTGTCTGTCTGTCTATCTATCTATCTATCTATCTATCTATCTATCTATCTATCTATCTATCTACCTACCTACCTACCTACCTACCTACCTCTCTATCTATCTATCCATTCATCTACCAATCATCTCTGTGTGTCTATCATCTCTGTCTGTCTATCTATCTATCTATCTATCTATCTATCTATCTATCTATCTATCTATCTATCTACCTACCTACCTACCTACCTACCTACCTACCTACCTACCTACCTCTCTATCTATCTATCCATTCATCTACCAATCATCTCTGTGTGTCTATCATCTCTATCTACCTACCTACCTATCTATCTATCCCTTTCCTATCTATCTATATATCTACCTATCTATCTATCTATCTATCTATCTATCTATCTATCCATTCCTCTACCAATCATCTCTGTGTCTGTCTGTCTGTCTGTCTATCTATCTATCTATGTATCCCTATCCATCCATCCATCCATGGTGGTTTGGAAACCAGAAAAAGAAAGATTTGCAACCCAAAACTCCGTTATCTCATTTTTGCAGCCTTGCAAATCACACCCAGCACGGAGTGGGGGTTGTTTTTTCCCTCCCCTCTATTGTTTTTTAGCTAGTTGTGCTTCCCCCCCCCCCAAAAAAAAAGTCACGGTGAAGAGAAAAGAAAAACCTCTGCATTTCCTTCCTCTGTGGAGCTGCCATTTCCCCCTCCTCTCCTTTGCAAACCTGCCAAAGTTAGCGAGAAAAGTTCCAGATGGGATTTGCAGTCATATTTAAATTCCTAAGAATCCCCCTCATCACCTTAGCCAGGGCAGGCAGTCTTGTAGGACCGTTCAGACATAAAATAATAGGCTTGGAAGGGACCTTGGAGGTCTTCTAGTCTAACCCCTTGTCCAAGCAGGAAACCTTATACCATTTTAGATGAATGGCTGTCCAGTCTCTTCTTGAAAACCTCCAGTGATGGAGCGCCCAAAACCTCTGGAGGCAAGCTGTTCCACTGATTCATTGTTTTCATTTTCAGGAAATTTCTCCTTAATTCAAAATTGGATCTTTAACAATCAGATTCAGCTGTAGTTTCAGTTCCATACAGTATTAACCTTATGAACTCTAAAACTTCCTCTTTCTGTTATGTATTCAAGGTGGACAGTGATTAATATTTATATGTTATTTATATGTAAGGATGTAGGTTTATACATATGTTGTATATAGCATGTTTAAAGTTGTGTTATGTGTGTGTACACTTTGAGAGCAAGGAACTAAATCTCATTTTTAATGTGTGCCAGTGTGCCCACAGTAAAAAATGACAATAAAGGTTATCTATCTATCTATCTATCTATCTATCTATCTATCTATCTATCTATCTACCTACCTACCTACCTATCTTTCTTTCTCCATCTATCTGTCTGTCTGTCCATCTATCCGTCCGTCCATCCATCCCTCCATCCATCCTAGCTAGCTATCTGACAAGTTGAAACAGAGAGGCATGTAGCTGCCCATGTCTCTCTCTCTCTCTCTCTCTCTCTCTCTCTCTCTCTCTCTCTCTCTCTCTCTCATATCTATCTATCTATCTTTATATCTATCTATCTATCTATCTATCTATCTATCTATCTATCTATCTATCTATCTATCTATCTATCATCTTTCACCCATTACTTCTTCTCCTGCCCTCAGAAGCTTTGGAGAATTGGTTGACCCTCTCTTCTCTTTGACAGCCCTTCAGATATTGGAAGACATCTGTCATGTCACCCCTAGTCCTTCTCTTTGTTAGATTAGACATACCTAGGTCCCCTCAATCATTCATCAATGCGATTTAGCCTCCAGACTCCTTACCACTGTTGTGGCTGTCCTATGGACATTCTTCTAGTTGACCTTGATTCAATGAACAGGCATCTTTAGAGAAATATAGTCATCATCAATGAGGATCTAATCCTTGCTTACCCTTTGGTGACCCTTCAGCTTGGCCACTTCTGGGGACGGCTTCCTTCTGCCTTATTATTATTGGTCTGGCTTTTGTGTCACTTTCAGGAAAATCAGGGCAGTGTGTCGCACAATAGGAGCTAATCTAAGCAAGAGAAGCCTTCTCCAGTGCACCATTAGTGTAGCTTTGAGGAAGCTGTCGAGACTTCGGGAGACTTTTCAGAAATAGCTGAAAGCTTCCGTGGGACTGGGAGGAGGGAAGCCCACAAATCGACACATCAGTTTGCCTGTCATCGTGTTTTATTTTTCTTCCAACATTGACTAATGACGTGTTTCCTCTGAGTTCCTTCTTGGATCATCTGTGGCTGTTTATGGTCTCCTGCCTCCTTGTCTCCTGTCTCAGCTGGCTGCCCCAAAGACTAGATCTTTGAGTGACTTCACTCCTCCTTACCTTGGCCCGAATGGATCTGTCATTCTGTCTACTTCCCACACGAGCTGGTAACCTTGAGGCGCACAATGAGTTTGTGATTTCCTTTGCTTTACCTCGTTGAGATAAGAAAATTGCCTTGGTGGCTGAACTTGTGAAAACAGGACCTTGCGATTTGTACTTAACAAGGAGTCCTCCCTTTTTAATTTTGAGTAGAGGCCAAGTTGCTTTGTCTCAACAAAAACGTGCATCATGCATTCCCTGGTCAGATCAGGGTCAGTCGAAGTCTCCTTGCAGTGGTCAACTCTTCCAAGATTTAATGCTTGTTCATCAACGGAGGCCCCCAGATGTTGAGTTCTTCAACATTTTCATGATCATTTCATTCCAGCGTAGCAGAAGTCAGAACGCCATGTTTCCTAATCTCAGGAAAAAATCCTACAGCTTCCTTCCTTCCTTCCTTCCTTCCTTCCTTCCTTCCTTCCTTCCTTCCTTCCTTCCTCCAATCCTTCCTTCCTTCCCCCCTCCCTCCAATCCTTTCTTCCCCTCCCTCCAATCCTTCCTTCCTTCCTTCCTTCCTCCAATCCTTCTTTCCTTCCTTCCTTCCCCCCTCCCTCCAATCCTTTCTTCCCCTCCCTCCAATCCTTCCTTCCTTCCTTCCTTTCTTCCTCCCTCCCTCCCATAAAGTCTCTTTTGAATTAAATCAATTTTTTTCTCAGTTCGTCACTAGAGAATCTCTTCATTAGAGTCCGCTTTCCTAGATAGAGCCCCATCAGGCTAAATTCAGCTTCTAGTGCCTTTATGACTAATATGTGTAGTCTGTAATCCGGAGACTGACAGCTCCTTTCCCAATGAAAACATTTCATGAAAAGGCATGTGAGCTTTTAATAAAAGGCGCTGCTAATTCCCTTCTGGTTCGTCCTAGGCTACTTTCCACCTACACTCCCCACTGCTAGATTGCCATCTTTAACTGCTACTTTCTTCCTACAACCCCTATCACAGTGGATCTTAAATTGAAGATAATCACCTCCCAAGGGGGTAATTTGACAATATCCGTGTGTGTGTGTGTGTGTGTGTGTGTGTGTGTGTGTGTGTGTGTGTGTGTTAATGGAGCAATTTGTAACTGCTTGTTTCTGAATTGATGTAAAGGCACAGTGGGAAAGACCTAAGGAGATGGGGTGAAGAGCCAACGGGGGACCAGACAGATAAGAGATAACATAGCCCTCAGCTGCATAATGGGCAGGGTAAGAGACTTGGAAGGAACCCTCCCTAGTTTTTCGTGGCGTGAGAATTGTACTTGCAAGTTTCAGTCGAAGTCGCTTTGCAGTAAAGTGGAAAGCTTATCTGATCACGGTTCTTTCGCTGTCTGCTTTATAGCCTGAGACACTAAAGATCGTTCGTTAGATCAGAGGTTCCCAACCTTTTGGGCACCAGGGACCGGTTCCGTGGAGAGAAGTTTTTCTGCGGACCGGAGGGGGCGTGGTTTTGTGTGCTGCCTGCATCCCACGGATGGGGCTTTGCTTGTTTGTGCGGACCGGTTGCTGGCATGCTGCGGACCGGTAGCGCTCCATGGACCAAAGGTTGGGGACCCCTGCATTAGATAGCTCTGGGCTATGATGTCTCTTATCTGACTGGTCTCTTGGCAGCGTCTCTTCTCCTCCTGTCTCCAAGATCTTTCTCACAGGCCGTTGTAGTTGAAGATCCCGTTTGAGACAGCTGAGGGTGTGTAAAACAACACATTCTGTGGGATTTGGGGGTAATACCAGAGTTGAAAAGGGACCTTGGAGGTCTTCTAGTCCAACCCCCTGCTCAAACAAGAGACCTATATGATTGGACAGGATAGACTGTAGGAGGAGAGAGATGCTGTAACCGCAGAGTAAGAAGTAAATTTATAATTGTATTTACAGCTGCTGTAAATATTTATAGCTTCTTCGTATCTTTTTTCTTTCTGTGCTTGTTTTCCTTTTGTTCCCCCCCCCCCTTCTTGCTCTTTGAGCTTTCTCTTTGATTTCTTTCTTTGTCTTTTCCTTTTCTTCCTCTATAGGGGTTCGAATTAGTTTTTAATCTGCCTTTTAAAAAAAATTAATAAAAATGATCTAGAAACATATATAAATTAAGCATTAGCACAAGGGCGAAAACAGCCCTTGGTTTTTAATACAAAGTCTGAACAACTTGACGTATACAATACAGAATTTAAAACATCCCGAACAATACAGATGGCAAAGAAATTTTAAAATAAGATCACTTCATCTGTCATTAAAGGGCATTTATTCTTTCGGCAAGATTAGGGTGAGAAAAAAAACAAACAGCGAGTATTTTTTTTTCTCTCCTCTTTAATTACCAGCCTTCAGCAAGGCAGAGAAGATACTCAATGTATAAAAAGAGGCAACATTTACCCAAAGATTTTTTTTTAATTAGGCTGTTATTCTTGTGTGTTTGTATGTGTGTGTGTGTGTGCATGTTTGTGTAGAGACCCTGCTAATCTTTGGCCTAGATTTTGCTGATCTCAGCTAGACTTAATCACTGTTTATTGGCCAATGGCCAAAGAAATAATAATGCCACTAGGTGACATATTGGCAGAGATTTTCACAGACTGCAGTTATGACAGCTTTTAGATAAGAAACACATCCTCCGCTCTGTCATATTAGGGCGGAATCGGGCAACCGGTGCCAAATTAGTCACCTTAAAAATGTCTGGTTTTTTTCTTCTTGCGTTTTAGAACTGTCTTTTTCGTGGCTGTTGACATGAACACGGAGAAGAGAGACGTAGGGCACCAATAAAGGTAGACTGTTTGTAGCTCAGGGTTGAAATGAGGGGTCCTGGGTGCTCTCTGAGCTTGCCTGTTTTCTTGCAGACGTTTCATGACCCAAACTAGGTAACATCATCAGTGCTAGAAGGGGGTGGAATTTATGGAGAGGAGGGAGGGAGGGAGGGAGGGAGGGAGGGAGGGAGGAAGGAAGGAAGGACTATGAGGTCCTTGGTGCTCTCTGAGCTTGCCTGCTTTCTTGCGGACGTTTCATGACCCAAACTAGGCAACATCATCAGGGCTAGAACGGGGTGGAATTTATGGAGAGGAGGAGGGAGGGAGGGAGGGAGGGAGGGAGGGAGGGAGGAAGGAAGGAAGGAAGGAAGGAAGGAAGGAAGGAAGGAAGGAAGGAAGGAAGGAAAAGGAAAAGGAAGGACTATGAGGTCCTTGGTGCTCTCTGAGCTTGGTGGTTTTCTTGCAGACGTTTCATTACCCAACTAAGTAACATCATCAGTGCTAGAAGGGAGTGGAATTTACGGAGAGGAGGAGGGAGGGAGGAAGGAAGGACTATGAAGTTCTAGGTACCCTCTGAGCTTGTTTGTTTTCTTGTAGATGTTTCATGACCCAACTAGGTAACATCATCAGTGCTAGAAGGGAGTGGGGTTTGCACTGATGATGTTACCTAGTTGGGTCATGAAACATCTTCAAGAAAGCAGCCAAGCTCAGAGAGCACCAAGGACCTCACGCCTCCTCCTCTTCCTCCTCCTCCTCCTCCTCTTCCTCAGTGACCCCAGGACACTGCAGCCGTCATAAATATGAGCCAGTTGACAAGCATCCGAATTTTGATCGCCGCAGAGATGCTGCAACGGTTGTATGAAAAACGGTCCTAGGTCACTTTTTTTCAGTCCCGTTGTAACTTTTGAACAGTCACTAAATGAACGGTTGTACAATGAGCACGACCTGTAAAGCAAAAGCAGGAGGAAAAAAAAATGAATACGGCGGTTTGCAAGGATGTGTGACGTTTGTACCGTTTCAAAAGACTCTGCAGAATAAGGGCCCTTGGTTCAAATCTAACCCAAACTGCCTTTGACCACGATTCAAGTGACGATATACAACCTTGCTCTTCTCGGGAACTAAGCTGTGGTTTTGGAAAGGGAAAAGAAGTTAATACAGTACCTGAATCAGGGCTTTGGACTCATTTTAAAACCAGTGATGGATTTGCTACTGACGCTGGAACTTTTTAATTTCAAGTTCAGCGTTCCCTTTCATTTCGTAAACCCAGCAATGGCCTACAAGAGAAAACTCCCACGTTCCTTCTCAAATATTTCCGTCCTTTTATGAGGATGGCCTTGACCAGGCCGCTGATAGTGTTGTCTACATTTTCCCTTCTTCTGTTAGGATATCAGAAACTCCTTTGGCATGTGCCGAGATTCCACCATCAGGGTCAAGTCACCTGCCTCTCCTCAGTTGTAAATCAAGGGCCTCCATCTGCCGTAAATCTCATCACTGTGTCTTGAAGAGCAGTTCTGCCAACCGGCATTCTGGGTTATGGTTCTCATGCTGTGGCTGCAAAAATCAGGCAGGAAAAGATTTTTTAAAATATATATATATATATTTATTGCTGCGAACTAGAGATTACTTGGGAGTTTTCAGCCTAGATATGGTTCTCCTATTAAGGATATTGTTTCAAACTCAGTCTTTTGAAGAGATTAATATCCTGAATCTCAGAGAGATGGGCAGTTAAGAAATATGAGATAGACAGGATAGAGAGAGAGACAGACAGACAGACACGGACGGACGGACGGACGGATGGATGGATGGATAGAGGATAGAGATAGATTGATAGATGATAGAGATGATAGATAGAAATAGAGACAGATTAATAGATGATAGATATGATAGATAGATAGATAGATAGATAGATAGATAGATAGATAGATAGATAGATAGATAGATAGATAGATATAGAGACAGACACGGACGGACGGACGAATGGATGGATAGATGATAGAGATTGAGATAGATAGAAATAGATAGATAGATAGATAGATAGATAGATAGATAGATAGATAGATAGATAGATAGATAGATAGATATAAAATGATATATGGATAGACAGATATAGAGAGATGATAAAGATGGATAAAGATAGATAAATAGAGGGTGGGGGAGAGGTAGATACGTTTTTCAAACTTGGCAGTTTTTAAGATAGGTGGAGTTCACCTGCCAAGGAATTCTGGGAGTAGAAGTCTACCTGTCTTAAAGCATACTGGGGGATGCTGGGAGTGGAAGTCAACCCATCTTAAAATGGCCAAGTTTGAAAAACCTTGCCTTAAATCATACTGAAGTTTCCTTTGGTTGAATGAATCCGCTAGTGAATGTACCCACTGCGGTTTAAAGGTCCTTGATTTCGCGCTTCCTGCCCCATGTCAGCTGTGGGTTATTCAACTAAACAGAGCATAATTTGGCATGGCAAGGAGCCCTGATAATGGATTGGGGGCAACTGGCTTTGCCAGTTGCCGGCTTGTGAAACTTGACCATCACATTCCTCCACCTCCGATCTAACGTTTTGGGTGTCGGTTGAAGAGGTTGGAAAATTCTCCATAGCCCCAGAACGCAGGACGAGGAAGCAACGAATGGAAACTAATTAAGGAGAGAACCAACCTAGAACTAAGGAGAAATTAATTAGTCAAACAACTCGCCTGCAGAAGTTGTGGGTGCTCCAACACTGGAGATTTTCAAGTAGAGACTGGACATCCATTTGTCTGAAATGGTATAGGGTTTCCTGCCCGAGCAGGGGGCTGGACTAGAAGACCTCCCAGGTCCCTTCCAACTCTGTTATTCTGTTTTAGAGCAAAATTCATTTCATGACTCTCCCACTGCTAAACCCCTCTCCTTTTTACAAACGGTGTGCTCCTCCTTAGCCAGTGATTCAAAAAATCTTGCCCTGCTGCCTGCTCCTGCCTCCAGTGCTTCTGGTAGGGTTGTCAAATACCTGTGCCATTACAGAGCAAGACAAATATGCTTGCTGTTTAATTTAGCTTTACCTGGGGAGTGGGCCTGAGCCAAGCTGTCTTAGGCTTGATGTGGATTTAATCCACACTCTCTAAAGAGGTTTAAGGCACTCCAGTTTCAGCTAATCCAGAAACCTAACCCCAAATCTTTTGAAACCTTTCACGGGCCACCAGGGCAATAGGCAAAGGGAAGTTCCTTCCACGTTAAAGTTATGAAAAGGACACCGTGTGCTTTTCGGACTAAAAGCTTTACTCCGTCCCCAATAAAGAAGATTTATTTTGCAGCCAGTCCGAGGATTTTGCTGACAATCTCTTTGTCCGTGACAAGCTCGCCTTGTCTTGGAGGTGGGCGAAGAAGAGAAGAAAATGAAATATTTTTTTTCTGAAAAGGGACCAGGGTGGCAGGAAACAAACGACAACAAACCAACAATGAAGTAAGGTGTCCAGACACTGTAAGCAACATTTTACCTGCGAAACTGTGTCTTTTATAGATTTTATTGATTCTTCCAACTGTCCACAAGATATCAGAGGGGTCTTTAGCTACGATTCTTAATACAGGTAGTTCTTACAACCACAACTGAGCCATAAAGTATATCTTGCTAAACCAAGAGAGTTAACTGAGTTTTGCCCCATTTTACAACCAGTGTTAAGTGAATTGCTGCAGTTTTAGTTTAGTAACATGGTTGTTAAGTGAAGCTGGCCTCCCCATTGGCTTTGCTTGTCAGAAGGGTGCAAAAGAGGATCACGTGACCCGCGGACATTGCAACTGTCATAAATATGAGTAGTTAACAATGATTTGAATTTTGATCCCGTGACCACAGGGATGCTGCAACTGTCGTAGGTGTGAAAAATGGTCATAAGTCACTTTTTCCAGTGCTGCTGTTACTTTGAACAGTCACTAAATGAATGGTTGTAAGTTGAGAACTATCTGTAGTGGTAATTTACAGGTGGGGGGGGGGAAGGAAAAACGTGACTAGAGATATACTGAAAGTCCTGGCAGCAACTGTAAAAATAAAAATATAACTTGGGATGCAAATAATTTACTAGATGTTTTGGTCTTACAAATAACCAAGACCAACGAACCAATGAGCAATTGCATGAACGAAAGCAAAAATATGAAATTATTTGCAACAAAGGAGTATGTTTGTGGGTATCGTGAACCGGTGCTCTGAATATGATTATTGATTCAGAAAGAAATCACTTGTAGGAGCTGAGGAGTTTGAATCAAGTTTTGCAGCTTTGGCTTCTTTTCAGAAACCAGCCAGAGCAGCCACGTTGGCTGGGGATGATGGGAGATTGTGGGTCAGCATGTTTTGGAGAGGAGCGAGTTAATCGTGTTACAGGTTGAATGCAGGAAATGATAGAAGAAGAAGGTTAGATAAGATAAGATAAGATAAGATAAGCTTTATTGTCATTTTTTTTTTACTTTGGGCAGAACGAAATTTAGTTGCCCGCTCTCAAAGTGAGACATATACACGACACACACCTAAACATACTATGTACAACATATGTATAGACCCACACCCCTACATGAAGAAGAAGGGGAAGAAGAAGTAGTAGTTGGAAGGGACCTTGGAGGTCATCTAGTCCAACCCCCTAAATCTGAATGCAAAGCAATCCAAACTCCAAACTTCTTAAGCCTGATGTGTTGGAACTACTGCAATTCTCAGCTTGTACATTCGTCCAGCAGATGCAGCCCTCTGCATCCGCCTGGGAACATCCTGGACTACAAACCCCATCAGTCTTCAACTGCTTTCAGCTACAAGCCCCATACCCGGGAGGATACTCTGCATCAACTCAGCGCGTTGAATTTCAACGGCCCCTGGGTCGATTGACCCATCCCCAGCAAACCCCAGGGATGGGGACGATGGGAAGAGGAGTAGTCTACCTAGCATCCCCTTGCAGGGCGCCAGGTCGGAGACCTTCAAGAAGCCCTTCCAGCTGGCGCATGCGTCATAGAAGGGGAAAAAAAAAACCGCAGCGCCGGGAAGCCGCCGCCGCTACCACGTGACGCGACTCGCC